TGAAGTTCTAAAGTCCATAACTCAACTTATCTTAATCGGATTTTGAAGTGGCATACCTCTAAATGTTTCTGGAGCAATTCTCTAAAGACCTGCATTCAAATTTGAAAATTTATTTTTCCAAAAATTTTTTGTAATTTTTCTGCTGTTATGATGTTGTAGAAATTCCAAAATGACCCAAGACTGAAGTTCTAAAGTCCATAACTCAACTTATCTTAATCGGATTTTGAAGTGGCATACCTCTAAATGTTTCTGGAGCAATTCTCTAAAAATCTGCATTCAAATTTGGAAATTTATATTTCCAAAATTTTTTTGTAATTTTTCTGATGTTATGATGTTGTAGAAATTAAAAAATGACCCAAGACTGAAGTTCTGAAGACCATAACTCAACTTATCCTATTCGGATTTTGAAGTGGCATACCTCTAAATGTTTCTGGAGCAATTCTCTAAAAATCTGCATTCAAATTTGGAAATTTATTTTTCCAAAATTTTTTTGTAATTTTTCTGGTGTTATGATGTTGTAGAAATTCCAAAATGACCCAAGACTGAAGTTCTAAAATCCATAACTCAACTAACCTTAATCGGATTTTGAAGTGGCATACCTCTAAATGTTTCTGGAGCAATTCTCTAAAAATCTGCATTCAAATTTGGAAATTTATTTTTCCAAAATTTTTTTGTAATTTTTCTGGTGTTATGATGTTGTAGAAATTCCAAAATGACCCAAGACTGAAGTTCTAAAGTCCATAACTCAACTAACCTGAATCGGATTTTGAAGTGGCATACCTCTAAATTTTTCTGGAGCAATTCTCTAAAAATCTGCATTCAAATTTGGAAATTTATTTTTCCAAAATTTTTTTGTAATTTTTCTGGTGTTATGATGTTGTAGAAATTCCAAAATGACCCAAGACTGAAGTTCTAAAGTCCATAACTCAACTAACCTTAATCGGATTTTGAAGTGGCATACCTCTAAATGTTTCTGGAGCAATTCTCTAAAAATCTGCATTCAAATTTGAAAATTTATTTTTCCAAAATTTTTTTGTAATTTTTCTGGTGTTATGATGTTGTAGAAATTCCAAAATGACCCAAGACTGAAGTTCTAAAGTCCATAACTCAACTTATCTTAATCGGATTTTGAAGTGGCATACCTCTAAATGTTTCTGGAGCAATTCTCTAAAAATCTGCATTCAAATTTGGAAATTTATATTTCCAAATTTTTTTTGTAATTTTTCTGATGTTATGATGTTGTAGAAATTAAAAAATGACCCAAGACTGAAGTTCTGAAGACCATAACTCAACTTATCCTATTCGGATTTTGAAGTGGCATACCTCTAAATGTTTCTGGAGCAATTCTCTAAAAATCTGCATTCAAATTTGGAAATTTATTTTTCCAAAATTTTTTTGTAATTTTTCTGCTGTTATGATGTTGTAGAAATTCCAAAATTACCCCAGACTGAAGTTCCAAAGTCCATAACTCAACTTATGTTAATCGGATTTTGAAGTGGCATACCTCTAAATGTTTCTGGAGCAATTCTCTAAAAATCTGCATTCAAATTTGAAAATTTATTTTTCCAAAATTTTTTTGTAATTTTTCTGCTATTATGATGTTGTAGAAATTCCAAAATTACCCAAGACTGAAGTTCTAAAGTCCATAACTCAACTAACCTTAATCGGATTTTGAAGTGGCATACCTCTAAATGTTTCTGGAGCAATTCTCTAAAAATCTGCATTCAAATTTGGAAATTTATTTTTCCAAAAATTTTTTGTAATTTTTCTGCTGTTATGATGTTGTAGAAATTCCAAATTACCCCAGACTGAAGTTCTAAAGTCCATAACTCAACTTATGTTAATCGGATTTTGAAGTGGCATACCTCTAAATGTTTCTGGAGCAATTCTCTAAAAATCTGCATTCAAATTTGAAAATTTATTTTTCCAAAATTTTTTTGTAATTTTTCTGGTGTTATGATGTTGTAGAAATTCCAAAATGACCCAAGACTGAAGTTCTAAAGTCCATAACTCAACTTATCTTAATCGGATTTTGAAGTGGCATACCTCTAAATGTTTCTGGAGCAATTCTCTAAAAATCTGCATTCAAATTTGGAAATTTATTTTTCCAAAATTTTTTTGGAATTTTTCTGGTGTTATGATGTTGTAGAAATTCCAAAATGACCCAAGACTGAAGTTCTAAAGTCCATAACTCAACTTATCTTAATCGGATTTTGAAGTGGCATACCTCTAAATGTTTCTGGAGCAATTCTCTAAAAATCTGCATTCAAATTTGGAAATTTATTTTTCCAAAATTTTTTTGTAATTTTTCTGGTGTTATGATGTTGTAGAAATTCCAAAATGACCCAAGACTGAAGTTCTAAAATCCATAACTCAACTAACCTTAATCGGATTTTGAAGTGGCATACCTCTAAATGTTTCTGGAGCAATTCTCTAAAAATCTGCATTCAAATTTGGAAATTTATTTTTCCAAAATTTTTTTGTAATTTTTCTGGTGTTATGATGTTGTAGAAATTCCAAAATGACCCAAGACTGAAGTTCTAAAGTCCATAACTCAACTAACCTGAATCGGATTTTGAAGTGGCATACCTCTAAATGTTTCTGGAGCAATTCTCTAAAAATCTGCATTCAAATTTAGAAATTTATTTTTCCAAAATTTTTTTGTAATTTTTCTGGTGTTATGATGTTGTAGAAATTCCAAAATGACCCAAGACTGAAGTTCTAAAGTCCATAACTCAACTAACCTTAATCGGATTTTGAAGTGGCATACCTCTAAATGTTTCTGGAGCAATTCTCTAAAAATCTGCATTCAAATTTGAAAATTTATTTTTCCAAAATTTTTTTGTAATTTTTCTGCTGTTATGATGTTGTAGAAATTCCAAAATGACCCAAGACTGAAGTTCTAAAGTCCATAACTCAACTTATCTTTATCGGATTTTGAAGTGGCATACCTCTAAATGTTTCTGGAGCAATTCTCTAAAAATCTGCATTCAAATTTGGAAATTTATTTTTCCAACATTTTTTTGTAATTTTTCTGGTGTTATGATGTTGTAGAAATTCCAAAATGACCCAAGACTGAAGTTCTAAAGTCCATAACTCAACTTATCTTAATCGGATTTTGAAGTGGCATACCTCTAAATGTTTCTGGAGCAATTCTCTAAAAATCTGCATTCAAATTTGGAAATTTATTTTTCCAAAATTTTTTTGTAATTTTTCTGGTGTTATGATGTTGTAGAAATTCAAAAATGACTTAAGACTGAAGTTCTGAAGACCATAACTCAACTTATCCTATTCGGATTTTGAAGTGGCATACCTCTAAATGTTTCTGGAGCAATTCTCTAAAAATCTGCATTCAAATTTGGAAATTTATTTTTCCAAAATTTTTTTGGAATTTTTCTGGTGTTATGATGTTGTAGAAATTCCAAAATGACCCAAGACTGAAGTTCTAAAGTCCATAACTCAACTTATCTTAATCGGATTTTGAAGTGGCATACCTCTAAATGTTTCTGGAGCAATTCTCTAAAAATCTGCATTCAAATTTGGAAATTTATTTTTCCAAAATTTTTTTGTAATTTTTCTGGTGTTATGATGTTGTAGAAATTCCAAAATGACCCAAGACTGAAGTTCTAAAATCCATAACTCAACTAACCTTAATCGGATTTTGAAGTGGCATACCTCTAAATGTTTCTGGAGCAATTCTCTAAAAATCTGCATTCAAATTTGGAAATTTATTTTTCCAAAATTTTTTTGTAATTTTTCTGGTGTTATGATGTTGTAGAAATTCCAAAATGACCCAAGACTGAAGTTCTAAAGTCCATAACTCAACTAACCTGAATCGGATTTTGAAGTGGCATACCTCTAAATGTTTCTGGAGCAATTCTCTAAAAATCTGCATTCAAATTTAGAAATTTATTTTTCCAAAATTTTTTTGTAATTTTTCTGGTGTTATGATGTTGTAGAAATTCCAAAATGACCCAAGACTGAAGTTCTAAAGTCCATAACTCAACTAACCTTAATCGGATTTTGAAGTGGCATACCTCTAAATGTTTCTGGAGCAATTCTCTAAAAATCTGCATTCAAATTTGAAAATTTATTTTTCCAAAATTTTTTTGTAATTTTTCTGCTGTTATGATGTTGTAGAAATTCCAAAATGACCCAAGACTGAAGTTCTAAAGTCCATAACTCAACTTATCTTTATCGGATTTTGAAGTGGCATACCTCTAAATGTTTCTGGAGCAATTCTCTAAAAATCTGCATTCAAATTTGGAAATTTATTTTTCCAACATTTTTTTGTAATTTTTCTGGTGTTATGATGTTGTAGAAATTCCAAAATGACCCAAGACTGAAGTTCTAAAGTCCATAACTCAACTTATGTTAATCGGATTTTGAAGTGGCATACCTCTAAATGTTTCTGGAGCAATTCTCTAAAAATCTGCATTCAAATTTGGAAATTTATTTTTCCAAAATTTTTTTGTAATTTTTCTGGTGTTATGATGTTGTAGAAATTCAAAAATGACTTAAGACTGAAGTTCTGAAGACCATAACTCAACTTATCCTATTCGGATTTTGAAGTGGCATACCTCTAAATGTTTCTGGAGCAATTCTCTAAAAATCTGCATTCAAATTTGGAAATTTATTTTTCCAAAAGTTTTTTGTAATTTTTCTGATGTTAAGATGTCGTAGAAATTCAAAAATGTCCAAAGTCAACTTATCTTAATCGGATTTTCAATATTTGAAATTTCTCGTTTGCACCCCCAGCTGAGTAACGGGTATCTGATAGTCGGGGAACTCCATCATGTTCTATATAATATATTTATTTTTTTATTGATGGAAAGTTATGTGATATTTTCCCGACCTTGAAACAACAACCTTTTAACAAATAATGAGCTATTTCCAAGACGAACCGGAACTCCCTTAAGTAAAATGGCTGAAACTCGTTTTTGAGTAAACTGATCCTTAGTATGATACGAGTACGTTAATTATATGTCGTAGCCCCTAAAGGGTGATGTAAAAGAAATATAACAAATCAAAATTAAGGTGTTATTTACTTAAATATTCTTTATTGAATGGCTCGGTAATAGACATCTCTGTTATTGGTGTCCTGAATGCTGCGATAATTATCGATGAGCGGTTTCTTTCGCGAGTCTCTGAGGTTCCAGAGTTTTGCGATCTGACGACGCGGATAGTCAAGAACATCGGGGAAAACGGTCCACGTGACCGCTTCGGCACAATCCGGTGTGGTCAGAGATCCTATCAATTGAGTACCAATGAGTACCAAGGGGCTGCAAATGGTTCCCCCAACTTACCATTGTACGTGAAGAACTCTCCAGTCACAATATTACCCAGCAACTGGCCCACGGTCAGTCTGCCGGTTATCGTGGCATTGGAGTTGTATTGCACGATTCTCGGCAGCTGGTTGAAGATCTTGTTGAGTCCGTAGTGCTGGGAGATTTGCCGATCCACCGCTCTGAACATAACCCCCAGAACAGCCAGGCCATCGGGATGCATGGTGGCCTCGCCCATCGTATCGTATATGGTGTTCTTATGAACGATGTGCATCTCCACGTCGTAACGCTGAAAGTTGATGGCGTGCTCCGATCCCTTGGAGTTCCCTGATCCCCAATGGAAATGCACGCTCTGGGCCTCGAAGTTTCCGGGCAAGAGGCTGCCATTAATGGAGGGCCGTTGGCCACCTCGAGTTTGCGGTATTACCATGTTAGCTATCCGAATAAACAACTTGATAACACTCAATGGACATGTGAGTTATTGAAAGCTTCGCACCTGTGTGTCCATTATTGATAATCACCAAGGGGGTTTGCAATGGTTGATCATAGTAGTTGAAACGCAGGCGCGGAATCGCCACAATTTTGGACTATTTAGGTAGAAAATTAGCAACCCTTTTAAAGAGATTACCCACTGGCAACTTACATCTTCATAAATCAAATCTATGGGAGACTGGTTCTCCCCACTTTGGCACGTTCCCGTCCAGTCATCGCCCTGCTCATCGTAGTTGTACTCGCCTGCCGCCTGCTCGTCTGCCCGATCCTGCTTAATAGCAGTGAGATAGGCCTCCGGGAGCTCTGCATAAAAATATATAATATATATATATATTGCCAAAAACAAGGGCTTGTAAATTCACCTATATAGGCAAAAGTGCAACCGCAAAGGGCTAGAAGCCAGCAAAAGCCGATAGAAAACATTGCTTAGCTAGGAACTTTTCTTGTAAGTACTTTCAGATCCGTTCGCCTGGGGGATTCCAGTCAGACTGTGAGCTTCTCGGCTCCAAACAGGATCATTTATACCAGCAAACCCAGGGGAAAACTGCCATAACTTATAAATGGGTGTGCATAAGAGTCTGATAAGCGCAATCAGCTTAGCCAGCCTATGGGCGCAATTTACATTCAAATTGCAAATGGCTTTACAGCTTTGCAGTTGCCAAACCGGCTTCATAATTGACTTTGACTGTGGCCAAGACACGGAGCACGTAACTAATGAATCCTCTTCTCTCTTTCACATTCCCTTTACATTGTAGATAGATCGAAGAATCGCCAATTGCTCTGAATCGGAATTAAAATAGTATGCCTTCACATCACTTGAGTCATTGCAATGGGCGCTTTTCGAATCAATGAATCACTGGACTACTTTCAACGCAACGACTCATAGGTTGAGGTAGGTTCGATGGAAGGGAAGGGATTCGTGAATCGAATGGGCCCTATCGTTTACTTGTTAAAATCCAATAAGATTAGGTACACCTTTGTATAAATATAATACTAATATGTCTCCTACTATTAGTTGGAATCCCTAATCTATCGGGCAATTGCTAAATTACCTGTCTGGATCCCAGGTAAACTCATTAGGCGCTTATCTTAAAGTTCAGCCAAGACATTGCCCTTACTGATCTTGGGTAACAAATACACTTTCCCAGACTACCTCTTTTGTTGGCACTACTAAAACTTCAGATTGATGCATTTTATAAACTATAGAAACTATAAAATGTAGATTTTTGGTTGCTTAATAAAGGTGTGCTTCTATCGTGAAAGCTGAAAGACTAACAGCTGTTGTAACAACTTGAGCAAAACTCAAATACCAACTGGATCGAAACCTTCGTCTTTGTTCTTTACCCTACTTTTTCAAAATCCGTGGATGGGACTTTGGCTTAAAATTTAAGCAAGTATGTATGTCAGCATCTTGAAATGGTTTGTACAGGAGCGTATTGTATTTAGTTTATTTCCTATTTTTTTTAACCCTATAAAACACAGTTCGCCCGTTTAGATGCTGTAGAGAACGATAGTTGTTGACCAGCTGGTTGCCCGCATCGTCTGTCAATAACCAAAACTTTGATGAGGGTGTAAGGCCCACAAACGTAATTTCGGTAAAAACAATCCAGATGACCGCCTCGTAGCAATTGGGCGTGGTCAGAGAGCCATCGTAGGAGAAGAAGTCTTTGAGATTCGGACTGTCAATCAACTCATCCAAACTAAGAAAACCATGATAAGAAGTGTTCGAATCTATGATCGGAATCCGTACGACTGACTCCATAAGACTGATCAAGGTTTCGGATTTTGTTCTTCTTTTCTGCAAATAAATTTACGGAACATGATTTCTTGAGGCATGTAGAAATCTACAATATATTACCTTATCAATGGACATCAGAACGGCAACAACAGCCAAACCATCTTTTTGTTCAGCTGCTTCCGCAACATTTTTGTACTTTTCGTTCCAATGAACAATATGGATTTCTCCATAATATCGCAATCTTTGTATTAAATGCTCGGCTCCGCGGGAATTATTGGATCCCCAATGAAAGTGAAGATTAGAGGCCAAGTAGCGACCCTTCAAACGGCCCCCGGATATATAGGGTAGCCTTCCATTGATTGTTTTGGTTATTTCCAAGGTAACTAACAATATAGCAATTAATTGCGCTCTGTTTTTAAACTACATAAAGCCTACTTGTGTGTCCATTATTCCGAATCCATACTGGGTTCGTAAGCTGTTGGTAATAGTTCCCGAAAAAGATTGCAGGTAATGCTTTCTTATATGCCTACCAGTAAGTGCTACAAATGTATTATTTCTGACGTCTGAATTCGTTTCGTTCACTGCTTACGGTGTTTCTATCCAACGCAATCGGTGATTGGGATTTTCCGGAGGAGCAGAGGCCTCCCCAGTCCGTTCCTTGCTTCAGGTAATTCCATTGGGCACCTGCAAGTTGCAAGTAAAAGAAACATATGGGGTTTTCTTGTAAATCTGGATACAGATACCTTTTCGTTTCGACTCATTGACAAGAAAGGTTTTTAGAGTACAAACGGCTAGTATTAATATCATACCGCTAAATTGATTTGAAATGCATATTTATTCCTTCAAATGTCTCTGTTTTGTCATCACTCGTCAAATTTCCAATTTCAAAATTGAAATTTAGATTTATTTTTTTTAAGTTTTTTTTAAACCCTTTTTTATTAGTCTTGCAAATTTCCATCGATTTGCAAAAATCGTTTTACTACGCCCACTCTACCGCCCACAATCCGCCTAAAACTGTCACTACCACGCGTTTTAAAATCTTTTTAAATTTGTTTACATAATTTCTCGTTTGCACTTTCACTAGCTGAGTAACGGGTATCTGATAGTCGGGGAACTCGACTATAGCATTCTATCTTGTTACCATTTGCCGTTTGAAAAAGCGCGAGCGGAAGCAGTAGAAACATCTTGTGAAAAGCGTTCGCCTGCATTGTTGTGGATTTCAGTTGTGATTGTTGCGATTGCAATAATATTATTATTGAAATTGATTCCAGATAACTCGTGTGACCTATGTCGCTCCTCGGTTTTGATTTCACTTAGTTTTTCCGATGTAAATGGACGGGAGTTATGCTAGCTTTACTGCAGCTCCGACTGCCAACTTTAAACAACTGGAACGGATCACAAATAGGCGGCCAACTTTCAGTTCAGATGGGGATTGCGACTATCTCAAATTTACTCGCACCGTATCCAATATGATTTGGAACCCCAAGAACGAGGGCCGCTTCAAGTCCAACTGGAGTGCCTCGAAATGGAAAATTGTTTATAACATGTGAAATAATTTATTTGCCTTAGGAAACTATAATAAATACGGAACTTAAGCCTATGTAAGTATCACTTTCCCAGGTAGGCACCACTCAGATCCTTTCCCGCCCTGTAGAACACTGGGCGTCCATTTCGCGGTTGGATGTCCCGGAAATTGTTGATAAGCCTGTGCCCCTCGGAGTCGCGCAGCCTCCAAAACTTCGATACCGATGAATAGGGCACGGGCAGCACCTGGGAGAACACCGTCCAGGTGACAGACTGCTCGCAGAGGGGCGTGGTCAGGGATCCTCGATAGGTGAAGAAGTCCCGGGGATTCAAATTTCCGAGCATCTGGCCCAGACTCAGGCTGCCCGGAATGGTCGTCCGTGCGTTGTACTTCGTTACTCTCGGCAACGCACTCAGTACTTTGCTCAGTCCCGGAAATATGCGATTGGGATTCTGTAAACAATTTTGTATAAATTCATAAAATCACTTTGAACTGTTTTTGTATTCAAATGACTGATGCATATAAACACAAAAATAACGCTGAAAGAACAATCATCTCAAAGTGACGTATTGACACGTTTATTTTTCTTCGGTAAATTTAGTTTTACGCTGAAGGCTTCCATTTCAGCCGTACTTCTATCGTACCATCACGTTAGCTTAGATTGCACATGGTTTCTGGGTACAAGAACCCCCATATGATCACTTCTTGTTTACCTTTACGATTTTCAGCATGACTCCAATAACAGCGATTCCATCTTTTTTGCTTTTCGCCTCATCGATATCTGTATACCTCTCATTTCGATGGACAATGTGCATTTCCACGTCGAACCGCTGCTGGTTGATGGAGTGTTCGGATCCGCGGGAACTCGGGGATCCCCAATGGAAGTGGAAAGCCTCGGCCACATATCTGCCTTTCAGAAGGCCCCCGGTTATGAAGGGCTTGTTGCCGTTAGCAGTTTCTGGTATCTCCACGTGAGCTGCCAAGCAATTAGTAGCTTTCGTTCAAAACCAATGCATTGGCGATCTTTGGAAAGACAACCCACCTGTATGTCCATTATTGTGCAGGGTGAGCGGTCCCCTCAGCTTTACGTCATAGTTGGCGAACACGATGCGCGGCAGTGGGACGATGAGCGACTGCCGGAAAGTATGACAATATATATTAGTTATTGAAATAAATTAGCCCTGTTTGGCGCTTCCATTTTCCACACTCATTACCCCTCGTAATACTAAAATTGGTAAAAGTGGCGTTAAAAGAGTTCGCGATTGTTCACTGGTTATATGCCAATTTGGGGTATCACTTTATGCTGAGATGAATGTTGTAAGCCAATTATGTAAGCATTGTGCCAAATTGGCTGGATAATAGTGCCAATCATTGCCAAGTTATCGTAGTTGTCTTTTTAACCTTCATACTATCGTATCTCAAGTATGAAAGTATTTCATATGACAAAATATTAACGACTTCTTAGGCGGATTTCTTACGCAGTAACAGCGTTTAAATAGATGCGCATATGAAATAGGGCTGAGTTTTGGCACGCATAATTAATACAAATTCGGTGATACACATTTTTAATTTATTAGATTTCTTTTCATCACTGTAAATTGCTGAAGACAAACAAACTTTTTGGCAGACTAAATCATTTAAGACGGAAAACAAAGGAACTCGGCTTAGTTCTGATCATACAGGGTATCATTTCACATACTTTTGTGGTATTTGCTACTTACTTTTTGGACGTTCAATGAAATGGGTGATTGTCTTTCCCCCGAAGAACAAATTCCTCCCCAGTCCTGTCCGTTCGTCTCGTAATTCCAATGCGATTCGACATTATTATCTACAAGTTTCAAATTGAAGAAAATGTTAGGTCTGAGACGTTTTCACTTTCTTTCAGCCATCTAGCATCTGGTAATCCTATTAGCCAAGACCGTGAATAAATTCACTTCTGTTTTCATTCGATGGAATTAGCCGACTCTCTCATTTCTGGAACCCAAACAAGGTATGGCATGGTGATTAATCAAAGTGGCTCATACAATTAATTGGAATGGGCTTGATTTTCAAACCCTTTCATACTTTTAACACAATTTCTTAATAATTTTGAGAGGACTAACATCAAAACTAAACCATTCCATATCCGTTAAAGCTACCACACTACTAATATATGTAACTTCCTGCCATTGAAGGCTAGTCTTACACTTTTTATCACTCCATTCGATCTGTTTTAAGATCTGGGATCCAAATTACCATTTGATGTATGCTGATAGGCGAGTGGTAGCAGTAGTAATAGCTTGTGAAAGGCACTCGGCTGCATTGTTGCAGATCGTAGATGTGATTGTTCTGACGACGATAGTACTTATGAATATAATTGATTCCCGCGGACGCGTTAAGTTTTGTATTAAAAATCGCGGTGTTTTCGATTTTACATAATTTAACCGGTGCGAATGTGCGGGAGATATGTTGGCCCTTATGATGCTGCTGCCACTGCGAACTCCGAACAACTGAAACGGCCCACAAATACCACGATATCTTTTATAGTTTAGAGGGGAACGGTGCCCACGTAGACTTGGCGTCTGGGGAGTCGGAATGGAATCGGAATCGGATCGGATCGGATCTGAATTCGACACCTAAGTGGCGCGTGATTAGCGGCAAACGGTAGCAACAAGTGGCAGTATAATTGCAGCGCTGGGTTTTCGAAATGATAAATGATGTATCTGATTTGTTGGTGTCTGCGCAACATAGAGCATAAGAGCCAGGAAAATCCAATATTGGTTGGAAATGCGGAAAAGATCTAACAAAGTTGCTGAACTCTTACAAATTCTGTGCACATTAATTGGTGAATGGGTGGGTTACCAGTTGTACCACCCATATGTCTTGTAGATAGGCTCCCAATCTGATTTCTTCATTATCTGTGCATTTCAAAGTAACGTATAAAAATATCCCCGGCAGCTGCTACGCGCCTGTCTTAAAAATATTTTATTTATCAAACATATTACCATACGCCAAGTCAAATTTCTTCTTAACAAACTCAATTCCAAATGCATTAATAGAAAGTAGCTCTGACCATTTGCATTTGAATTGTTATCTATGGCGAATATTATGGCCAAAATTTTGGCAAATATTCGCATTGAATGACTGCTTCAGCCAGGTTAGGCAGAAGTTGCCAGTCAGCTTTCGTCTACGTCATGTCCAAAAAACTGGGAAATCCTCTGACCAGTTACAGCATAATGGCTTCGAGCTAAACTTCTTTGTCGAATGTTCCACAATTCCCTTAACACGTGTGACTCACATGAAAGCGCCAATTAGATTGGATAATGACCACAAGCGGTGGTAACATCTTTCGTCAGCATGGATAATATAATTTTTTCCCAGCGCGAATAATATAATATTTATGTTATCCACGGCGATTTCACTTTCCAACTAACCGAAGAGAGCGACTCAACTTTTTTCAGGCTTTTCATTTAAACTGTATTTCGTAGTCTGTCACTAACATCTAAGTATTCATGCATACTCCGCAAGTATTAATTATATTCTAAAAGTATAATATAGTTCAATTTTGATACAATTTTTATCGCTTGAACGTCTTATCAATAGAAATGTATCAAGCGTCTTCTGCGCAGTCAAACTGCTCTTAATTCTTGGATTTCCCCCGAAGGTCAGAGTTCGGTGGCGAAATATATGCGCCTACTGGGTCAGAAGTCACCCACCGCATGGGAAACAAACTCGAACTGGCGCTCCATGCTGTTCTCGGATTCCAACTCCAGTGCATCGTCGATGAAGTGCATCTCGACGTGCTCGCGGAAGGCATTGAAAGACACTTGGCTGGAGTACTGCTTGCCGCACATAGGGCAGATCTTCTCCATTGCATCGGCTGCGTCTGCTTTGATTTTCTCTTGTATGATATTGATTCTCTGGCTGGGCGGTGTTCCATTGTGTCCATTGTGCTGGCTCTCATAGTTCTTCAGTTCGCTGGTCAGGCTGTCGTCCGTTTCCAGACTTTTGTCGGCCATCTCCGGCTTTTTGAAGGTTTTCTGGGCACATTCCGGACAGGGCTTCAGTGCTGCGTACACATAAAGCAGGCGTTAAAAGTAGTTTTTTTAGCATAATTTGTTACTTACCTATGCGACTTTCTAGTAAAGTCAGAGCCGAACTGAGCTCCTGCTGCTGCTTCATGGCCTCTCGCCTCATCTCCTGCAGTCCATCCATACATCTTTTGGCATCCACATTGGCATCAGGTTCACTGGTGGTTTCCTCCACCTTTTGCAGGTTGTAAGGGTAACCTAGTTCCCCGCTACTGGCACCGAAGTCATCCAAGGCTATTTCCTCCAGGCTGAGATCCTTTATCCCGTCTGACAGCATCTTTTGGCGAAGGTGAGGATTGGGGGAGTGTTGCGTAAAGGTCTTGGAGCGCACCAGGTTCTGGTTTTGCTGGGCACGCGAGTCGGATGAGCTGGGCACTGCGTTTAGCTGCTGATCCTTGGAGATCTGCGACAGACGGGACCAGAGGCGTCTGTTCTCGTTGGACACCATGCTAATGTGCTCCTCCAGCTGCTCCTTTTGGCGCTGCAGCTCAGAGACCTGGGCTTTGAGGGAGAGTACATCCCCAGTGACCCCGATTTCCTTTGCAGTTGGAGCACCTTCTGACCTGCTGGAGGCTTCCCTCAGTCGCTGGTTCTCCTCCTCCATGCTGGCCACGCGGCGCTGCAGCTGGATGCACCGCTCCTTGATAGTTTGCAGCGCCACTTGGAGTGCGTAGTTCATTTTGTCACTGGAAGGGGAGTTTATGGATCCGGAAGTGGACGTGGAACTGGCCATGGGTGTGATTTTGGCAGCAGATGCCTCCATTCTGGATTACTGGAGTTCCCTGGCACTTGGCATCAAAGTAATCGCCCAATCGATCCGACAAATATACGTTTTCCTGTAAATGTTTGATTTTCCAAATTTTTTATTGCGTTCTCATTAGTAAGACCGTGCGACAAACTTTAAAAAATAATGAACAATACACCGATAGTCTGCAGTTACTGAAGACGGTCATGTAAAAACTGAGTAACATTTTAAAGTCAGAATTCAGCATGTTTTTATTAATAAAAAACAACAAAGGCTTTTTGGTTATTATGCAAAACCATTTTTTACATAATTGAAGACGATAGTTTCTCAGACGCAACAGGTTTCACTGTATCTCAGCATTCTTGTTACGTTATTTGACAGTGTGACCAGCTCATTCCGCAAACAGCTGCTTTTGTTTACGCCGCATTATTATCCAACAAATTTTCCGATGTTTTGCGGCAAGAGTTTAGTCAATAATTTCTACAAATATAAGAGAAAGATGTGGCAGAATGTAGTCCCAATAATACAGCGTGGCAAGGGAACTTACCACCCACTAAAAATTCTCTTTTTCGGCACCGATTACTTTTCCTTGCCCAGCTTACAGGCGCTACACAAAAACTGCGGGTAAAAAAGTTTGCAAAAATAATATTAAAGTAGTTAATAATAGTTTTTAATTTCTCAGTGACCACTTGGGAGTTGTTACCTCCTTCAAAAATCCCGCCAACTGTGTGAGGACCTATGCGGAAAAGGAGAAGCTTCCCCTGCAAAAGTGGCCCATAGATCCATCTGTGTGTCCTAAGTTTGACCTGGGCGTCGTGGTTTCCTTTGGCCACCTGATTCCTGCTAATATCATACATGGATTTCCTAATGGAATGATCAATGTTCATGCTAGTCTATTGCCCAGGTGGCGAGGAGCTGCTCCCATCATATATGCGATCATGAAGGGAGATGCCATCACTGGGGTTTCCATCATGAAAATCGAACCTCACCGGTTTGATATTGGTGCAGTAAGTTCGTTCTCTCCTTACCATCATGTCATGTAGTGATCACGGCTTCACTACTTCAGATTTTAGCTCAGCGGGAGGTGGCGATTGAGCCCAATGTCTTCATGCCGGACTTGCACGCATCTTTGGCGTCGTTAGGGGCAGATTTACTAGTGGATACGGTTAACAACCTGTCAGTACGACTTAAGGAAGCCAAACCCCAGGATAGTACAAAGACCAGCTATGGTAGAGTATATCTAAGCACCTAGAGAACCTATATATACCATTTTTTCCTTCAGCTCCCAAGATCACCAGTAAAATAACAGAAGTCAATTGGTCGGAGCTGAGTGCCCTTGACATATACACGCGTCATAGAGCTTTGTTTGGCTACAAAAACCTTACCACCAGCTTTTTGAGCAAGCAAGTGCAGCTGCTAGAGGTGCGATTACCGGAAAAGGAACTTCCATTCCAAGAACCTGGTGCTATCAGCTACCTGAGGAAGGCGAGATCCCTGGTAATTGGATGTGCTCAGCACAGCCAGTTGGAGGTGCTTCAATTACGCGTAGAAGGTAGAAAACCTATGAGTGCGCAGGACTTTAACAACGGCTTCCTAAAGCAAGCAAGGTCTTTATCTTTTACGGCGAATAAACTAGCATCGCTTTGATAACGAACGTGTGGCTTTAATGCACAATGGATGCTTATTATCTAGGCCAAGTCGGAGGGCTTGACTTCCTTGGTTTCGGACAATTGCTGCGTGGATTTTTGGAGCAGATTCTTGGTGAACCACATGGGACGAGGCTTCTTCATCTCCACGATGCGTTTGTTTTTCAGCTCATCTGAGGACTGTTCGGCTTTCTCGCCCTCATAAAGAACGATTACTTCCTTGTCCACGGGATCTAGACCCAGTGTCTCCTGGATTTTCGACTGCATGAGCTCAGTCTCCTTCAGGACTTTTTGGTAGCAGAAAGCTGGAAGAGCAGCATTAATAGAAGCAACATCTTGTTATACTTTTAAGCGTACGTACGACAAAGAACCCCCATCTCGTGGTCATGGCCACATTGCAGACAGGAGCGGATGTTCCTCTTCTCCCTCAGAGGCTTCCAATTGTATTCCGGATATCCGAACTTCCGCTTCAGGCGTTTCTCCACGGATCTCCTGTGTTTCGGAACAGCCCACAGCATTCCGTCGCCAATAAGCTGCTTCAAACTGAATTCCTGGGAGGATCTATGGCTGTGATCATGCTGAAAACCGGCCAACGCTAGAGCTGTACAAATAGTGGGTAAGTAGGAGTATTTTAGCTTAGGCTAGTACATCTCACCAGGAGGGTGTCCTCCATGTGGCAGGAACAGGCTCTCCAAGTTCCTAAATAAGTTTGTAATTGATAAAAACAAATTTCTGGACATCTTGATTCTCCTCTCCTAAAATTTACGTAAACGTGATTGGAGATGCGCATGAGAAACAGCTGTGCTATCGATAAGTTTATTTGAAAGACGTAAGTATCCCTGCTGACGCAAATAATATGCGTTTCTATTTGATAAGAATGGAAGATACCCAATAAAGAGCAATTCTAAGTTAATATTGTCAACAGAAATCAAACACTACCGAAAACTAATTCAACTAACTTTTTAATTTAATACCTTAATTACAGACCAGTTCCGTTTTAATGTTATAGCCTTTGCCGCCTTACGTTACCCACCTTTACTGATACGTTTAGCCGGCTGCCTTGCGTCACCGCGCACGTTGCAACCCTAAACAGCTGTTCGCAGCAGCTGTTCTGCACTGTTACGTCAAAATAAAGTAGTGAAAAGGTGCAAATTGCGTGCGAGTTAAATAAAAACTATTTGCCAGGCCGGAAAACGCGTTTCCATCGGGATCTTTGAGCGGCCCAGTTGTTGCGGAACATGAGGATACTGGCGGAACCGGAAGGTAGTGGCGGCCTGGCCGTATGACCTTTGCGAGCAGAGCTTGAGTCCCGGATATATCCCGCAAGTAGTGTGACCCACAGGCAAACTGGGGTCATCCAAAACAGACCTCGACCTCCAGTGACTGCAAAACCGCATTGCTGCTTCAGCCACCGAAATTCCCGTTCAAGTTCAAGCCGAGCCGACCTCACCTTCGTGAGCGATCGTTTCCACCACAGTCGGAAGGTGGGATACCCACCACACCTGACCGCGCGCACGCGCATCGATTCAAAAATCCAGAAAAAGCGAAAACACTTCGCTGGAGCTGCTGAAGCCAAACGCAAGCAAACCGCGCTTCGCCGTCGCCTCGAAAATCGCCAGTCCATCTACACCCCGAAATCGCCACGCAATCGCGCGTTTCTAAAATCCTGCGAGCCTGCAAAAAAAAAAAACATAACCAAAAACCCACTATAATGCTGTTCACCTGTTGAATTCTGTGCCTGTGTCTCGATCAAGAAGCTGCACCCATCCTACCCTTCCCACAACAAAAACCATCGAATAAGCCCTGCTGCACTAAAATCCTCACAATCAAACCCACAAAATGGCCTGCTTGAGCACTTCCGGTCGCGTCGTCTGCGGCTCCCGTCGCCAGCAGACGCACAAGCTGCTCTACCAGCTATTCGGATCCCGGCCAGGATATACAGCCCCATCCACCGCGACCGGATTATTCAGTCCGCCCAAAGTCCAACAGCAGGCCATGCGACTCTGCCACGGATTAAGCTTCAGCTTGGGCAAGGATTACCCCGATCTGCTGGTAAGTTCATTGCCGGATGAAGCCTACACCGCGAAAAAATAGCTGTTAAATGATGCAGATGGTTGAAGTGATAAAATGACGAATGATATAAGGACATATTTTCTGGTTAACTTGCAAGATCCTTTTTATAAACAGAAACATTTAAGTGCTTTCTTAACAGTACTGGGTACTTAACTTTATGTACGTTCGTAATTTAAAGTAGCAAGTGTGAATTATGTCCTCAGTATTCAAACTAGGATTAAAAATATTGGATATTAAAACTATCGCTTGCTTTTCTGCCAGTGCAGAGTGCATTGGCTGCAAGCCAACTCTTTTGGCCGCTAATGCGTCTGCGTGACTTTGGCTTTTGCTGTCCGCTTTTCTTTTCTTCGCTGCAAAGCCAAAAAGAAAATGAAAGTGAAATTGGTCGCTGGCAGTTGGCCGTTGGCCGTTGGTTGTTGGCCGTTGCTTTTGTGCAAGTAGCGTGAAAAACAACTTGTTGCGCCCACAGTTGCAGTGTTGTTGTTGGCGGAAGCTGGCGCATTTATTTATTATTGTGCCTTGGCTTTTTTACCACTTGCCGAACGCCTCTGTTTTTCTCCGCTTCGTTTCCATGTGTTTTTCCCCGCATTTTTGCAAGGTGAAGTTTTTCATCGGCCTCTCTTTCTGGCCCGATAATTATGTCTCTTTCTGGTGTGTCTGTAGTTTGTCATTAATTTTAAATCGTTGACAAGTCGCTAGTCTGTAGTGTTTTTCTTCCTTTTTCATTTTTCACTTTGCATTTTTCCTTTGAGTTATGCAATTTCGCTGGCTGCATTTCGAGCTCTGGTTTATTACTCGTATTTATCAATATTTATCGCCCGCGTTGTTGATTTTCGCGCTATTTGTGGCGCCCATAAACAGCTGATTGGGGGGCCAGTGCCCCCAAAACTGTGCTCTATTTCTCCACAACACTGTGCCCCATGTCGTATACGTAATATCTGAAGTGGGTTCTGTTTTGCATTGTGTCGAACAGGCGGATTTGGTGCTCCTTATCAGTCTGGGGAATACTATCAGCATTTTGCGATTTCATTCGACTGATTAACTATTGAAAATACAGTAAACACACTTTAAGGAATAAGCAAGGTACTTTAAATAACACTTCATGAGTCCAGAAGATTTTTACCAATAACTCTGTCTTACGACCTTGTCTTAGATGTTAAATATAAATATTATTTTATTGATATTGCACTTTAAGCTGAGCGTACTGTAACAAATAAAACGATTAAATGCATGTAATCTTAGAGACCTGGGTTTTAAATCCCATGAGTGACGTACTCAGTGCAACAAAAGGGTCGTAAATAACCGAGCTCATTATAGAGTTATGGAGTTATTTGCCTTCCTAGGTCATATTTCTTGGGGAAACATCTCCAGCCTTTGTTGTGCCTTTGTTGTGAGGCGGGAAAACCCAGAAGGAACTCCGGGCAATTGTCTTAAAATTCAATTGGCTAGTTAGGCCTTCGGCTTAATTGCTTACTTACTCACTTATGCCTTGAGTAGGCATGTACATATGCATAGGCCGCGATTAGTGCATCGGTTTCTCACATTTGCTATTTAGTTTATTGTTTTATGGCACGCCATTTAAGCCAGCCCATTTAGCTGGGGGGTGGTGGTGTTAGGGAGTACGACTTTGATTTAATTGCTTTAGCATTGCGAATGCAGTGAGTTGAATGCAGTTTGTGCATTGGCTATTTTGGCGGCCAGCCTTGGCTTGAACATATTTATTTGTATTAATAGGGCGCACTTTGGTTGCTTTTTGGTTATATATGAAAAAGGTTAAGTGCTCGTTAATTCACTTAATGCACACCTTTGACAGCCGTAAATAAAACCTTGCTCTGAAAGGTTGGAGGTTTGCTATTGCCTCCCGAAAATGTGAGAAGCCACATGTGCCAGCTACATTTTTGGTAGATTTATAAACATCTTAAAGATAAAAGTGTAGTTTATGTAAGTAACAGTACTCAATACTCAGTATAAATGCTTGCAGTCCGATTTCGAAAAAGTTTGATAACTTTGTATGCAGTTGTCGTCATCGAATTATTTATGCATTTTAGTTGTTTAAGACGCTTTTGTTGTTTCATTTCGGAGCCGAATAAAAATTCATTCAACGCCAAATTGGATGTGTGCCCGACAGGCATCCACACAGCCACAAAACACAAGCACCTGGAAACTGATACGTTCATCTATCATAGGTAAACAATAAACAAAACGCAAATAGAAAGCGCACGTCGCAGCCAAAACCAAAAACCAAAACCAAAAAAACGCCAACTAATAATAGTCGGCAATAGCAGTCGTAGAAGAAATTCACTTTTAACGGTTTCTTTGACTTTCTTCTTCATTTCATTTGCCAAGCTGCCGAGCGAGCTCTCCATTGTTTTGGCCAAAAGAAACCGGCCAAAAAGAAAAAGAAGTCCGACTCTTTATCTATATGCGCCACACGATTTTGGCAAGCAGCCGATTGGCCAGCTCTAAGTATTCGTTATCTCTGCATCGAATTATTTTTGAAATCATTTTCATATGTTCCAGTGCTTCCGCCTAAAACTATTTACCATTTGCATATCACTTTCATTGCAAATGCGTGATTTAAGTCGCGAAGCCGCGAGTTTGCGTTTGGCGTTTGGGCCAAGTCTTTTAACGCCAGCGTGTGAATTCGATGGGTTGCTTGGTACTCCCAAGGTGGCGGTCTCCAATTAGATTAGAGAGTCTGTGAACGGCTGGATAGTTTAACGGAGGTGGATTGATTTCGATCGATTCTCCGCGTTTTTAACGCGTTTCCGCTTAATTTGAATGCGAGGGTTTGGTCTCGAGAAAGTGAAACCGAATCGCAACCTGTTTTCATTGAAACTTTTAGAAACTTTGGGCACGAAGTCAATACTCGATTAAATCAGCTGCGATTTGACTTATATCACTAAAAGAGGCATTTAAACGGGGTTTGGAGTACTTAACCTACATACGGGTTGAGATAACGAATAGGCATATTTCTTGCACTTCATTCACTAAACTCAACAAGTTGTATGTATTTTTCAGTTAAAAGGGGTCTGCCCGCATTCCTTTAACTTGTATTTCACAATCAGTCATATTCGCTGACCACTTGTGAGAAAGTGATCATCTCGGGCATAAATATGTAGGAAAGAGCCCAGCAAAAGTGGCAGATATGCTAAAAGATACATCCGTCGTATGCACGAGATGGTCATATCGTAAATCTCCGCCTTTGTGTCTTCATGGCGGTGTCTTCATTTCTGTATTTCTGTATTTCTGCAAAACACTTTCACTGTCCGAGTGGCCGGCCCTGCCAGAAGAAGTTCAAGCCAAAAGACCCCGCATAATTCTCTATCAGCCGCATATTATTTGTGCTTAATGTGCACTTGCTGGGGGCTTAATTGGCTCTTCGGATGTGGGCATGGATGTGGATGTGCCTAAGCGGATTGCTTGCTACTGGTTGCTTGCTGACCTGGCTTTCATTCAACCTGTCCCATGCGGACACACACCTGCAATGGGCTCTTTGATCGCTCAGGTCTGGCTTTGGTATTGGTATTTTTCGGGCCGTACTTGCTGACCCAATTCCAGAAGACGCATGCGCTTTGGACTGTTGTCCTAAACTGGTTTCGGGTTCGGTTCGGATCGGTTAGGTTTTGCTTTGGTCTCGGCCTTTTCGGCCTTTCTGCCGCATTTCCATCTCTTTCGCGCCCAGTCCGTTAACTGTTAATGATTTCGGCGTTGTTTTCCTTAACAACAAATTTTCGGATTTCGATTTGAAAGCCGTAAAAGAAGCGCCGCTAAATGCACCGAAAGAAATATTGCAGACGAATAATTGAGGCATCATGGTAGTTTTCATTTTTTCCCACACTTCTGCACAACCTAAAGGTTTGATTACTCAACAAAGATAGATATATTTACCCAACTACCAATATCAGTAGATACAGATATTGCCCCCCTTTTCTCTGTGTGCAAAGGGAGCGGTGTTGGGCGGTGGAGCAAGTTTGCTTCGGATAGTTTTGACCAAGTTGCATAACCCGCCAAAACCAAACCCATCGAGACTGGCCAGCTGTCAGCCCCGCATTTCATCAATGTCGCTCATTGGTGGACTTTCCTGCCTCTCGGCTATTCGGCTTACATTGTTGATGTTTTATCAGTAATTATCATAAATTTGACTATCTTGGGCGGCGTTTGCATATGCTTCCCACACTGATTGCCTTACTTGTTCGGAGTGTTTGCTCAACATTCTATTTCCAATCGGAGCCCTATTAATTGGCCAAGGTTTTCACCTGATTAACATTGGAATTTGGTTAAATGCTTTCCACATTTTACGATTCCGTGTTGCGACATCGCTTGGCCAGAAATTGAAACGAAAAATTAGATTTGCATTTATTGGCGGCACGCGTCGCAGTTGCAGTTGCACTTCGGAATTTGTTTTTTTCCTGTCTGCGTTTGCGCTTTTTATGTAATTTTTTGGGTTCATTTACGCCCGAAGTCGCCAATGCAGGATAAACTTGAATTTTCAGGTTTTCCACCACTAACTGGTTTCCAATTTGTCTGCAAAAACATTTTGCCATTCCTCGGCGAACCTTAATGTTGGCTGCATTTTAGTGCTTTTGCCTTTTGACAGATTGTTATAATTACCAGCTGCACACTGACACCTTCAAAAATTATGGTAGGCAACAAATACTTCGGCTATTAAACGATTTTCACAGGCTATTTCGGCGTTTTACAATAGCTTGCATGTCGAGGCGTTTAAAAACGCATTCGCCATTCCTTTGGCAGCGTTTAAAGTCGCCTCCATAGGCAAATATCACGCAGCCGCCGCGTTGGACAAGCACGCACTAATTTCAATTGTAAATCCCGATTGCGCAATATCCAAAGTGACGGCGGAATTCCGTGCGACTCGATGGCTGAGACTGGAGTGCGGAAAATGGCCAGCTAAACTGGATCGGAAATCAAGTAGATATATACCAATTAATAGATGAAAATCCTGTGCAGTGCGTCCACTTTTGGGAGGACAACTCATTAGTTCGAAAATTCAGCACTCATGGTGTCCACTCTTATTTCCATTTCCATAAATTTGCTCTTGATACAATTTTCCTATTTAACTCAAATATTATTTCTATTAAACCGAACATACTTCGGACTTTTGGGCATTCCCATATGAGCAACCATGCCTTTTGGCTTTATTTTTTGACTCGCTGATTTGCAGACTTCAATTGGCCAATCGATTGCAGTTGTCACAGTTTCCGATGAGCCCTTTTGCGATCGCAATGAAACCGTGACGCATTGTAGCATGTGCAATTGAGACATTAGCAAACAATGCCAACAGATTATGCTATTCACTCGAGCCGCTGCATCTCGGCGGGATTTCAGATTCAGAAGCGTTCTCAATGCCGCGATGAGCACTTTGTCAAATACAAATTGCCCAGTTTGGAGGCAAACACTCGGCCACTTGGCAATCACACTCACTTGAGCTCGGATGCCTGCGGTGCGACTGGGTTGTTAACACGCATGTTAACCACTTGCCAGCGAACTTGGCTAATGAAGAAGCTCCCGCGCGGCTAAAATCGAACGGAGAAATTACAAAGCCAATCGTTACCGCCTCCCGCCATCGAGTTGTTCCCCTCGTTGGCCCACAAAAGTGTTGGTTATGTCAGCCGTGGCAATACAACCGCAGCGCAGCGATGACAAAAAGGGAAAGTAAGTCCAAAGCCCCGTCTTCGCGGCCCTCAGCTGCTCACTTTCTTGGCCGTGTCTTGTGTCCGCATTTGGCCAATACCCCGCTGTTGGCCGCTTCCGCTACCGACGGCCTGTCATGTTCGATCGTGGCGGCTGTATTTCTTGTTGGCCAGCCAGAAAAAGAAGCAATTAAAATTGTTGGGAAATGATGACAGCTCGCTTTGGGCTCGCCGAACTGTCCAAGGTCGAAGGAGTTGCATTTATCCTTAAGACTCACATTTATATGTTGTTAAATCAAAAATGTCAGCAAGGTAAAGCCAGTTGTCATATGAACACAGCTTGTTAACCAATTAAGTTTTCTGCTAATTGCGTCCTTAGAGTGGAATAAATTGTACATAAAATAAGGTAGCTAACGACTTGAATGTTCTTTGGCCACGCGACGTGAGCACAGATTTGTGAGTGGTTGGCTATACTTGAATAGTTTTCGAGTCGCAGGTGCTAACAGTTTGTGTACTTAAAATCGGCCTCCATTAAAATAGCAACATGCAAAGGTAATTTTCGAGCTACGCATATTGCCATATTGAATAAAAATGGCCTATGATGCGGCATACAAATGGCCCAAAGCAACTGAGCGAATTCCGGGCCAAACAAGAGCAGAAATCTCCACAATGGGAGGCTCTGCACAAAAGTGAGTCGTAAAGCCATCAATAAGCAATGCAAAATGTCGCAATTTCCCTGGTTTTATGTGGGGCTTTCAATCAAAACAGACATCAATCAGTGCGAGTTGGCCTGGCACTCGAAAGTGTTTAAATACTTTCAGCCGTTAATTGTCTTCATCTTCAGTTGGCAACGCTGAGTGGGCTGGGCTTTGGACTGAATTGGATGGTACACATCTGGAGAGGATTATGTCGTGGGAGCGCCCTGGGGCCAAAATTCCACTTTTATTTGATCGTTTTTGGCACTTGGCACTTGTCTGTCGATATTTGCACACTCCGCTGAATGCTGCAATTGCTTTGATCACTGCGCCCATTTGGGGCAATTTTTCCACAATTAAATTAATGGCTGCGAAAAGGCGCGTATTTAAATGAAAATTGGCAGAGGCGCCGCCGGCCACTGAGCAAATAAAAGTAAATTATTTGCCGCATTGTTGCCGAAGAGATCGGTATTATTATTTCCTTTCGAACCGATGTGAAAGTTGGCTTGCCAATTGCTGCGGCTCCTCTTTTGTGGCTCCAGTTGCATGTGGGGCAGAAGGAGGTTAAACTGGATATCTTTCACAGTTCGCTTGCGCCGGGCTAATTGCGGCTTAACCCTATCAACCGATTCCAGATAATCTCGAAACCCGAACTCCACTTATTGAAAAGTTGCAATGAAGAGATTTCTGATTAATCAAAGTCGTACCATGACTTACCAAGTATGTTCATATGTATGTGCATCTTGACTTCTCTAGATGCTTCGCTATTTCGCAGATATTTGCCCAGTTACACAATAAACCACTTTGAGCAGACGGAGTCCAAATCCTCGGTTCGTCTTCAGCAGCCAAGTGCAACGAAAGAGTCTACTTCCTATGTGGTTATTTCAAATGTTAATGCTTTTTGGCTTTGTGCACGCAAAAAGCTTGAAAAACTCCAGTTTGCATAGTGAAATTCACTGAGATCTTAGGCTTAGTGGGCACCCAGAATTAGACGCAGATCATTGACCTGGCTTTAAAATCGGGCACTTCATCCATAACATGACCAAGTGGCCAACGGCAAGCAGTTCATTGGGTTTAGAGGCACTTAAAATCCGTTTGGCTTGCGTGGGCACCTGCGAAAAGCATTTTTCAGTGCTTAAAAGTCATTCAACGTTTGTGGCCAACTCGAAATGGCCACAATTAAATGCATTTCTGCACGTTCCACGCAAAGAAATGGCAGTGTTTCACTTTGTTTCTCTTACATTTGGCCTTTGCAAAATGATCAACTAATTTTAATTTGGCGCACATATTGAAAACGAAAGCTACCGCGACGCGAATTTAATTGGATTTCTTCCGGCTGCTGCTGTAAATTGTGATGCGTCGATTTTGTAATAAGCCCCCGAACGAACGGCGCGCTTTCTACTCGCCAAAAGGCAAAGCCCATTCCGATGTTTATGACACATATTAAATATGAAACTGGGTCATTACAAGCTCTTTTCAATGGTCAACAATTTGTTTGGGTATTTTACGATGCTGTGGTGTGGGCCCCCTTCGAACACCAAAACCGAACCAGTTTGCCATCCAAAATCCCACACGTGTATTCCTCACAACGCTGTTGATGATGATGATGATGCTGCACAAGATGCGGATGAAGATCGCTGGCCAAGGGCGGCAAGTGATGGTCATTGGCCCGTGGCAGGACTCTATGGCCACAACTGGGTCACCGCGTAATCCGAAAACAGCGTCGACACCCAATCGAAATGGCCAAATATTTGCTGGTGTAAAAGTTGCTACCTCCATTGAATTTACATGTCATCATGCCAGCATGTGTGGCTTTTTATTGACAGACTGGGAGGCTGACTGGTTGACTGGTTGATTGGTTGACTAGTTGACAGGCTGCACAAGAAGCAAACAAGTGCAAGCATTGCATAATGGCACATAAATGAATTTGAAAAGAAAATCGATTCAAAGCGGGGAAAACTGATTGCCCCAATCAAAATGCCACTTTTATTCGCCTTTGTAATAAAGAGAGTGTTCAATCGCCTTGTAAGTGTCGACGTTTTTTCTCTGTGTGGAAAATAGCACTACTTTTTGGCCGCAAACACACGACAATTCAGCAGCGCGTGTTGCTCTCTTTTGTCGCGGTAACAAAAGGATTTGTGGTTTTAACAATTCAAATTTTGGCGACAAGGTCAAGAGTCGCGCGAGGGCGTCAACAATCGACTTCAATTAGTTGGCCATTTACGGGGGTTACAGCCCAGTACTGTAGCCGCTGCAATTTTCCAGTTATTAATTTTTCGGCCTAACTGAAAACAGAAAACACGCCGGCGGGCAAGGCAAAACTTGTTAGACGTGACACAGCCGCAATTGAAAGTTGTTAAGTGACTTGTTTGCTCCATCCATTATTCACACTTTGTTAGTAATTGCAGCTATTACCCGAAATCGCTAACCGTTCTACCATTTTCCCAACTTCCAGCAAAGCTCCCACAAGTGCAGCCAAACGCTGCAGTACTCCCAAAGTTCCAAGGCGAATCTGAGGCAGCACAGCTCGGTCCACACACAACAGCCAGCCGGTCCTGTGAGGGAGTTCCAGATCGATCCCTACATCATACTCGACGACGACCTCAAGTACTTCTACGACGATGTGAGATATGTAAGTGCCCAATATAATATAGTTCCCATGATAAACCGCAAGTCTTAGACTAATCGAGTTTTGTCAGAAGCTCCATGCTGGTGTTGGGAACGTCATCGATTAGATGGTTTTTTCCTCAAGCTTAGGGGATTTTTTTCTCGCGTCCCGGAACACAAATATTTGCATATTTAGACCACATCTACAGAGCGACCAAAAAAACTGAAAATGGACCTAACTAACTCCGCTGACGATCTTCTTTCAGCTGCTGAAATCGGGCACATCCCAGCCAGAGTTGGACACCATCGCCAGCTATTATTTCGATGGCCAGGGGAAGGCTCTGCGACCCATGGTTACCATGCTGATGGCCAAGGCGATAAACTACCACCTGAACAACGAGTCACAGTGAGTGGGAGTGATTAGCAATATTACAGTATTATTATTTATTATCCATATAAGAAGACTTTACAAGCAGAATATTGGGAGTCATAAAAGCATACTGCATCTGTTGCTAACTTTATTATTTTCAAAAGAAGCTCATGGTTGTTACTAGACATAGTAGTATTTCCAGCGTAAGACGAACCTTCTTGTTTTTATTGAGTACAGTAGTATTCGAAATATTGCTATTAGTTGAAGAAGACTATTCCGATGTTTCAGAGTGTAGACAAGTGTAATTGATTAGCACGGTTTTGCGAAATGTGCGCAGCCCGACCAAATGAAATCACACATACCCCTGCAAGCATGTAGTTTTTGATTTTTGCCCTAATCCCAAACCATATATCTTCCTATCGCCTTGACAGCCAATTAGTACACAAACAGCGACAGATCGCCCTCTTTTCGGAGATGGTGCACTCGGCCAGCTTGGTCCACGACGATGTCATCGATCAGTCGGACTTCCGACGCGGCAAGCCCAGCGTGAATGCTCTTTGGAACCACAAAAAGGTAAAGATCGATCCGCGATAGGCGATATATATATATACATATGTGGCATCATTGGTGCCACCGATGTTTGCCAGTGCCAAACAAACAAAGCCAAACACGCGCACCGAAACAGCCAAACAGCCGAACAGCAATCATTCAGGCCCAAAGCCTGACTTTGACATCAATTTGTTGCGTATTTCGATTTGAAGTGTTTATTGACTTTGTCAACATCTATGTTTCTTGCATCATTTGAAAGGCCTCAAAGTCGGATGGTGATGCCTCTTCATCGGACTTTATAATGGATCCCAAAATAGTTCCCTTTCGACATGACTTCAAATTAAAAGGCACAAATTAATCCAATCCGCATCTTCACAAGAAGCGGAAATTTCTCGCCTCTGATTGTATCGGCGCTCATCTTAGTCACATGTCGGTTGGGTTTTCCTTTTTTTAAGCCATCTTGCTGTTGGCCGTTAACGTTGCAACACATAAAACTGTCTTACAGCGATTGTGTTGGCCGATCTTTTGTTATGGCCGCTTGTTTCTGACCATGTCTCGTCGCTTTTACAGGTCACAATGGCTGGTGATTATATCTTATCGATTGCCTCGATTATGATAGCTCGTCTGCGCAGCGATGATGTGACGATCGTGCTGAGTCAGGTAAGAAAACTTTCAGTTGCAAGGATATGACTAATCTGGGCGTCAAACTGGGAGTACTATACCATCAAGAAGAGACCAAAAGCTTACAGCTTAAAGATCATTGTACAGAAATAACTTTACTGCTTAAAATTCTACCAAAAGCCGAATAGTTTTGGCACCCACCACCTAAAACAAACATTTGTAGAAGATACCAAGTGCTAGTTAATTGCCAGGGCAAACTCAAATTTTCAGCGAGTGACTTAGAAAGGCTGCCCAGCTTAAAAACTCCCGGATTCTGTGGAAGTATTTATGTACATAAACACAAGCCTTTAGTGTTTTATGCCATCAGGTGTCGAGTTTCGGGGAACGTTTGTCTTAAAATGATGAAAGTTTCTCGTTCTGTTGGTTGGGAAACCGAAAACCAGTTGCCGCTTTTAATGGGCCTGCAAACTTCCTGCGTCCCTGGAAGTTGGTTCCCCAAGGTTTGCCCTTCGCCAGAGTTCGAGAAACTCCACAAAAAGCGGCATTCACTTTTCATGAGTAGGAACTTTGTGTTTGTGTCCTTGTGAATCCCACATTCCGCTGAAATACTCAGCCTACACACGTAGTTCCTACAAATTTCAAATTAGTCACACCTGCCAATTTCACTTTCCGTGGCGATGGAGTTAAGTTCCCAGCTTCCCGCATATTTACACAATCGAATCGAGCTGCCGACCAGTTAATAGCTAAGACAAACACAATAACTTGCCTACGTTTTTGGGTTACACATTTGGCGTTTTCTCGATTCGCGGCGAAAAACAAGCGTAACACTTGAGGATTGGCCTGAAGATGGCCCAAGGTGCGGCCCAGACACTTATCTGCCACTATTTGTCTATCTCATTAAGCCGATCTGGCCGAATTCATGCCCGTGCGTCTATCGCATAATGTGGCTCATTTGCATTCCACACACTTTGACCCCGCCGAAATGAAACTTTCTTCGCGATCGTGAGATCATTTGTATTGAAACTAGTTCTAAGCCAAACTGGTCCCCACTATTTATGTAAATTTCTCTGGGCTGCAGAATTTGCACATTAAAAACAAAACAGCCCGGAGCATTTGGACAAGAAGAAGCGTTAAGGATGACCCAACGCAAAATTGTTCGTGCGACCAAATATTCAAAATTAAATTTACATATATATTCTATAGCTTCTAGTAGATTGTCCAACTAGTTTGGTAACCAAAAGCTATGGAAATTTACGTCTTTAGTAACCATATTCTATTTGCAAAACTTTGTATTCATTCAACTCTTTTTGTCACTCGTTCAGACGTCTTTTTGCCTCTTTCTTTCATCTACGGCAATCTACAATCTTCGGCATATATTTATCAGATTTTTCATATTAAATATGCTGCGCACGTGTCTGAATAAAATCAGCGGTTTCTAAGACGTCGGATGGCATTTATAAAATGGGTAGAATGTCCGTCTGCCTTTCAATCAAGTCAATTTATGACTATTCCCGCCATTTGGGCTAATCCAAACAGTTACCACTTTTAACGCCCTTGGAAATGCCCACATTCTGTTGTACAATTTATATCTGGCTCAGAAAGCTGTACATTTAATTGTCCTCAGTGTATAGTCTCTGAAAATAACTGGCTGGTACATATTGGCGCCGAACTCGGAAGCTTGCGATTGAAAAGAAAATGCCTGGCAAAGTGGTTTCGAGGCTGAATCATAGTTTTTTCCAAAAAATGCACTCGATTCCGCGATTCCGCTGCATTTGGTCTCATTAAGCTGCTTGAAAAGCGGCATTGTGTTAATTTCTGTGGCTCCGAATGCACTTGTTGGCCAAGTTGTTAGAGCTCACGCACTTGTAGTTGGCTTTTTGTCAGTGTTAATTAACATTGAACGTCCAGCAGCAGTGGCCGGCGGAATTTGGCCGGGCGTTTTGGCCAGAAACTATTGGCCTGGTATGGCCGCCTCACCTTGAGCTCCTTGGAAACCGCCATTTTTCAGCGCCCACTATTGTTTGCCAATGATTTTGACAACTGCCTGTGAATTTCTTGTCCGAATCAATGAAAATGCCTATTCGATGGCGAATCGAAGGGCGTGCCACAGAATTGATGAGCAAACAGAAGCGGCGATAGCCAAAATATCCAACTTCTTTGGGGAGCTGAATGAAATCTTGTTTGCTAGATCTATTTGGCACAATTGTGTTTGCTATTTGCATTCGAGATTTTGGCCAAGCGGAAGTGACACACACACACGAGCGTAGCAAAGATATTAAAATATTATATCTGGAAATCCATTTCAAAAACGATGTGGACAACTGAAATATCTCTGATCTCTTTATCTGGAAATGAAACCGTTTTTGTTGTCCGTGTAGGGTGAGCACCGTGTGCGAATTGCGTAATGATCCATTCATCTGCGAGCGGGAACCCCAGAACAATTGAAGTCATAACCATAACCATAACCCCAACCATTCACTGTGACATATTTATGGAGCATTGTCCGCAATCCCTTGCAGATCTTGACCGATTTGGTCCAAGGCGAGTTCATGCAGCTGGGCTCAAGGGAGACGGAGAACGAGCGCTTCGCCCATTACCTGACCAAGACGTACAGGAAGACCGCATCGCTGATCGCCAACGCACTGAAGGCGGTGAGTATTCATTACCATCATGCGAGCACGAGCAGATGACCCAGCCGTTTAATTCGGCAATTAGTTTGCACGCAGTACCGCGCCATTGTGCTCAATCCACTGCAATTTGAACTGATCTTGAACCCTCTGTTCTCCGGCTCTCCTGCAGACCGCCGTGATTGCCCAGGCCGACGACAACGTGGCCGAGGTGGCCTTCCAGTACGGACGCAACATCGGCTTGGCCTTTCAGCTGGTCGACGACATGCTGGACTTCGTCTCCTCCACCGAGCAGATGGGCAAGCCGACGGCGGCAGATCTGAAACTGGGTCTGGCCACCGCCCCCGTCCTCTTTGCATGCGAAAAGGTGAGTGCGGCACCTGGAATCTGCTTGATACTTCCTAGCTTGCTTGCCAACAGATCTTAGCTGGTTCCTTGTGCACAGAGAAAATATCATTAACATCATCTCATAATGTTCGAAGAGCATTGCAATCATTTCTCTCTGTGTATAAATGAGCTAGATTGAGATGTCGGTTTGTCCACACTTCTATTTGCTATGCATCCATTGCCCGCCGTCGCAATGATGATGTATGCTTGGTGCCGGCGGTGAAGGTGTGATGATGTCATGTGGGTGGGTGGTTGGCTAGATACGCAGATGATACAATGGGTCTGTAATTCAGATGCTCAATTGCCCCCGATTACCAATGCCCATTTGCTATGCATTCCGCGAGCTGTGCACGCGTGCAGTGCGTTTAAAGCCGCTCTGTAGCTGCAAACTGCATAGACTGCATAACCTGCATAATTAAAATGCCTTTTCCGTACATTCCAGTACCCCGAGCTGAATCCCATGGTGATGCGGCGCTTCAGCGAGCCCGGCGACGTGGAGCGAGCCTTCGAGCTGGTGCACAAGTCGCACGGTCTGGAACAGACCCGGTTCCTGGCCAAGAAGCACTGCAACGAGGCGATACGGCTGGCCCAGGAGCTCACGGAGTCGCCCTACCAGAAGGGCCTCCAGGTGGTCGCCGACTTAGTCATCAACCGCATGAAGTAGAGCCGCACCCGTGCACCCTAACATAATATTACCTACCATACCCGTAATGCAATAATAATAATAATAATAATAATAGTGTTATGTAGGCCCCTCGATGTTGGATTAAGTTCTATTCGGCCGGCGGGCTACTTTGTAAACAAGAATTATTATTTAGTTTTTAGGCATTTGTTGTTGACACTGTAAATAATTGCATAAAGAACCTAATCAACACACACTAAACGGCAACGTTCGCTGTACATACATAATTACGAGATGTTCAATGAATTTTTGACAAATTTTATATGCAATGTTTTTCGACAAATTTATTTATATGTACGAGTATAGAGAGCGAAATATGAGCCAAAAGCCAACAATAAGAGAAACGAGAAAATTGTACAAACATTTCTTCAACTAAACGAATTGAAATGGGTTGCCAGCCGAGCACCAAATGAGGTATCTAAGGAATATAAAGGAAAATGTTTATTAGTCAATGCAACAAAGGAAGTGTGTAGAGTGTGTAGAGCGATATTTTTAGTACGAAGCACGAGGAGCATAATTGGTTTATTTTATATTAATCTTGATTTAGGGCATTTCATGCCTAAATGGTTCAATGGTCATTGCCTGCACTCTGTTTAAAATCCCTTCTGACCGCACAAACATGTAATCAAGTGGAAAGCCCGTAGCTTAGCTGGAATAAATAAAATATTTTGAACCATTCGCGCATGAAATGCATATTGTAATATGTTCTATAAGAAATGTAATGAGGATTGTACGTGGAACAATGCTGCCCAGTCTTAATTTTAAATCTTTCTTCTCCGCCTCTATTGCAATAGTAATTAAAAAACATTTGAAACGAAATCAAACCGCATACCCCATTTCGAAATGTTCTAAAACTCTTTTTAGTCTAAGTTTTTATTTTAATTTATGAACAAAACCTCACTTAAGTTAGTCAGCGAAATTCGTTTTTTTTTTGTCCGTTTAGTTTTGATGAAAAATCCTTGGGCTCCTTTACAGCCCGCTCTACACTAAAAGAAAGGTAAATGAAAGATAAAATACAGAAATTTGCTGGCGAGTTGATCAATTCAATAGGGTGCTGAAGAAGATGTACCCACATATTTTAGAGTGCGAACGACAAAATAATGATACAGATGTTGATATTGATACTTGTAATTACGATATTTGTACACATAAAGACATGAATAAAAATTCGATTTTGTAAAACAAACAAAATGAAGATGATTTTGCTTTCGAGTGTTAGCGAAAAAGGTCCTGAAAGCACTCTACACATTCCGTTCGTAACTATGCAACGAATTAACCAGCTGAATGACCTAGTGAAATAGTTTTGGACATGGCCAAAGTGCCTTATGTTGCGACGGGCATGGCTGAAACCGAAATTGGGGCAAACAAATAAATTTGGCAGTGTGAGTTGGCTGAACTCGTAGCTGCCACACAGGGCGTATGAGTAGGCAAGCTGCTTAGGCTTCCAAGAGCTTTGCATTTTAAAACCTCAACAAGTTTCGTATTAATGGGCACGCAACACTGCAGTAGCCTTACTTTGGCTCTTTTATTAAAACAGAACATCACGATTCGGGTTAAGCCAACGCAGCCGTGGCATAATTTTCTTGGCAACCTAAAGTCAATATATTTTATGTCCAGGCAGTCTAGCAAAGTGGAGCAGGCAAACATCGCGTCTAACTGGCGAAATATTTAAATAGCCAGACCAAATTAGCTGAGGTTTCGATATCCTTCGACTCGTCTTCAAGGACAGACGACCGAAGTGTGCCTTAACCTAGGTTATAAATAGTCGGGCGTGCTGCCTAGACAACCGACCCATCATCCATGGCCCTTTAGTGCCTGGCACGGATCCTGCCAGCCAATTCGGCGGTTAAACGGCTTGGACGGCACACGAGACCGATTCAGTAACGCCGCGTTTGCTGAACGCAGCGCTACTTCCGTTCCCGTTCTCGTTCTCCCAGTTTCCCAGATATCCAAATATCCTCCAGATAGTCGAGGCACTTCAGATATCTGGCCAAATCACACACGGAGCCATGACGACTAGCGATGAAATGGGCATGGGCGGCAACTTCTGCCACGACCACATCCAGCATCCGCTGATGTGGTGCGATGAGAAGAAGCGTCTGGTGGAGCGCAAGAATGCAGAAGAGAGTCTTCGCATGTGGCGTCGCAGGAAGGCGGAGGAGTGTGCTCGCAAGGAGAAGGATAAGCAGGAGGTGGGTAACAGTGCGTATGAGTGATATTTGACGAGGTAGTGCTAGCTAATGGTAAGACCGTGCGTACGAGTTATATTTTGAAGGCACCAAGCAAAGTGGTTAGTGTGGTTAGCAAAGGTTAATTATGTTAAATAATTATCATTAAAAAGCAAAAACTTATACTTCAGAACCCTGAACCTCAAGTAATAATCAATTTACCAAGTTCCAAGTTCCTTTGGAAGTATAAGGCTGAAATGCACGCACGAGTGTAGAAAAGAAACCAGAAAAGAACCTATGACAATCAAAAAACATCTCGAACCTTCCCCCACGCGATACTTGCAACTTTTGGTAAGTTCAAAGACCTGCCTCAAGCAACATGTAAGGCATCCGCCCGCGCGGATCTGGTTCAACAAACCCTTTGACAATTTCGACTTGGGCAATCAAATCACCTCTCCTCTCCTCCGCTCTCCACGGCCAAATGCCCAACCAAAAGCCCAACTGGCTGCTCCGGCGAATCCTTGCGTGACTGGAGTCCTGGCTACCTATCACAACCTGCAGCTGTGTGAGGCGAAGCAGCCAAAATGTGGGTGAACAAATCAGTGAAATGCAAATCGGCGTTCGCTGCAACTATAACAACAACCTACTAACAAAGTTTGTGGGCCACAGCGGCGGCAGCTCCAGGGGTGGGGGGCTTGCCAATTTCCGTAAACAAACATCGCCACACTTCGCGGAGTGACACGACCAGGTGGGTTGAGGCAGTCTGGAGCCATAAATAGGCTGCCACCCAATCGATAAGGCATGACTCGGTGTTGTAATCATCCTGTGGAAGGAATTTAATGTAGTTATATTCCAAATTTATTGTGGGTAATGCCATAAATGATCAAGCTAGTACGCACATAACAAGTTTTCAAGCATCACAAACTCTTCTGAAAATAGTCCTGTAACCGGATATTCACTGGGTTTACAGTCACTGCAGCAGTCATCTTGCTTTACTTTACTTTCAAAGGTAGAATTCAACTTAATACGCCAAGTATTTAAAAATTAGCAAAATAGCGATTAGACCTTCGATAGCCCGCTCATCGAGCTATCGATGTCAACCGAACCATCGATCTCAACCGAACTATCGATTTTTACCGATCCGAACGTGTGGCTCCAAATACTCAGCAATTCCAAAACATCTTTAAAGTTGAGGCTTTAAAATGGAATTCAAACAGCATGTGGACTCAGCACTAACCACTTTTGTGGACAACACAAGGTTCTTCAGGGAAATTGCAGAGTTCGTGTCCGATTTCAGTGATGGGCAAATCCAGCAGCTGCTGGAGGAAAGCGCTCGTCTGCGCGTTGAGCACGCCGAGAATCTCATCCGTGTGAAGAGCAAGCACCAGTCACTCAGCCAGGTGATGCAGCAGGTCCAGAACTCGAGCTCCACCATCGAGGAGCTTGAGGAAAACTGGAAGAAGCGCTCCAAAGCGGAGGAACAGAAGCGCATCAATGTCAAGAACATAGCCGAGTTTAAGAACTTCAAGAAAACTGTGGAATCTGCAGCTGGCCATGTAGGTGCGGAGGTCAATAGTCAAGCGAATGGCGCCGCCCAGGATGAGGACCTTATTATCGAAGGAATCGAAGAGACCGGCGGCGGGATCTTCTCGCTCTACGATCCCTGGTCCAAGGCCCTAATGAAGAACCCCGTGCGCAACGAGAAGTGCGGTCACATCTACGACCGCGATTCGGTGATGCTGATTATAAAGGACAACATTGGCATCCGATGTCCCGTGCTCGGCTGTGGCAACACGACCTACATCCAGCCTGCGCACCTGGTCGAGGATGCCAAAGTCCGGCAAATGGTAATACAGCGAATGGCCGAGGAGATTGAGGATAGCACTGCCTCGGAGGACGACGAGGAACAGGCAGATGAGGATTGAGCCGGATTCCGTTGTTGTCGATCCTCAGCTAAACATCCATAGAATGATAGAATATCCATAGAATGAAATATCTAATCATGATTAAGTATGCTCCCACATTTTCATCTGCATTTGTAATAAATATTCATTGTTGTCGACTAATAAGATATAACGCTGTCAAAAAATGTGCTTTTTAATACCAACAATGTTCTTTTATCCAGTACTACGACCTGTTTCACCAACATTGTCCTTGGGGTCGACCTGGTGGTGGTGCACCCAATGTAGAAGTGCGGCGCAAGGACATCACAGCCGTAGGCCTTCACTCCACGCCCACAGTGGTAAGGACTCTGGCATCGTTATCCAATGATATATTTTTTTAACTATGATAACTTTGGCGTCCTGCAGACCAATGCCCACCGAATGAATCTGCTGCAGCCGTGTCGCTACAACGACTTCTTCTCGATGCAGAAGAAGTGTCACAACAACCCGCTGGCCGCCTACCACCACCACCACCACCATGCCCCTCCTGCCCCTCCGCCGGGTGGTCGCCTTGGCCACGCCCACTCAGTTCATCACCTGCAGGAAAGTGGTCCCAGGAGCAGCACCGTCACGATTTGCGAGCGGGAGATTCCCCACAAGCCCGGAGCGGGAGTTGGTGTCAATGTTGCCAAAAACGCCAACGGTGAGAGCCTTCACATCGAGCTGAAAGAGCATCCTTCAATGTCGTTTCGCAATAAAGGCCATGTAGACATAGAATTGCGATACAAGCCCTCTCCTCCGTGCAAGGGCAAGCCTCTTCTGGAGAAGATTGTGGTTAGCGAGAGTGAACAGCGATGTCCTTTGCAGGAAAAGCTGGCCACACAGAAGAAGCGCCTGCAGGCCAAACTAGAAAAGCCGGTGAGCGGCACTTATTACGCCCCCTGAAACAAATTTTAACTGATCCCTTTATCTATCCTCTTTCTAGCCCTGCAAGGAGCCCTGGGGCAAAGCGGGTCCGGGCGGCAAGCCCTGGCGGAGTCCCAAGGAAGTGGGCAACACGTTCATGAAGTCACTGGTGGGTTAACATAAACATAACATAAAAGTCCATTTCACTAGCTATTGCCTTTATCCATACTATGTAATTCTAAACTAATTTCAGGGTTGGACGAACAAGGAGATGCTGAAGGAGTTGGACCAGGATAACCCGGTGACTCCGGCGGAGAAGAACACCTTTCGCAAATCGCGACCGGGCAAGCCACCAAAACCGCAGCGCTGCTGTGAAATGTGCACTTGCAACTGTCCCGCCATGCAAAAGAGTCCACCCAAGCCGTCGCCACTTTCACTGCCCATTCCGCCGGGAAAGAAGTGTCCGGGTCCGCCAGGTCCGCCGCCCGGAAAGATGCTGCACCACTTGAAGCCGCAGGACTGCGGCGGCAAACCCGTCAGGCTGTGCCCCCGCATGGCCTCAAGAGCTCCCTGCCCCGGGAGCACCAGTACCGCCACACCGGATGCCAGTGCGGCGGGAGGAAACGGAGGACCATACGCCGAGGGTGGCGGGGTAGAGCTGGTTCCCCTGCTCGCCAGAAGGCGTGGAATGCACCGTCCCATCAGTCTCTCCAGCACGGACGTGACCAAAAGGACGCCGTCGCACGATAGGTACGCATCCAAGCACAAGCATCCACCAAAGAACTGTCAGCTGACCACCACCAAGATCAAGTGCATCAACAGCATCATCAAGAACATCAGCCACATGAAGCGGCTGCCCAAGAATCTGAACTGCAAGCTGCAGTGTTGCAGTTGCGATTGCCCCACGGCCTTGGCCACGGGCTGCTGCCTCAAGCGGCTGACCCTGCACATTCGCCAGGCTTGAAAACCACGTTCCTTCAGACCTGATCCCCTCTTGCTTTCATAGTACTATTCCATCTCCCTACTCCCACCGTTTCTCATTTGCTTGCTCTGCGCGCTCTAGACATTGAAACGAAAGTCCGCTTGACCCTCTGTTCTTATGCCTTGTGATCTTGTCCTGTTAATGGTTTCTCTAATCCCCCACTTCTCCTCGGCTCATCCAGCAAGAAAATATCCATTGTAATACAAGTGAAAGTATAGCAACCAAAAGAGCAAACCAAATACCAATCTCACCAAAAACAAACAAACTGCAACAGCAAAAATCAAAAATCATAATACCAATCTTCTATGTATGTATCCCCGTGCAAAACAAATCGAACTGAAAATCGCTCTGAAATTCGAAAATTCGCTATCTGAAAAATCGAACTGATATAAATGAAACTATAATATTGCTGCCCACCAATCATCCGACAACCAGGATTCAAACGGCCGCCGACATGCGCTATTTGCACGATCTAAATGTCCAGATATCCCAGAACCGTCGATCCGTCTCCGTTTCCAAGCAACTGGACAGGGATCTGTGCAACCAGCACTTCGACACCTTCGAAACGTTCTGGGGAAGACCAGGACATGGAGCCCGTGGCGACAATATCAACAAACTGAAACTGGACAATCTGCTCTACGGCGCCAGCGAATCGACGTAAGGTCAAGGATGCCTGATACCTGGATTGCTAGGATATTCCCTCACCTGTTGACTGGCTCGTAGTTTGTGTGCTTAAGCCATCTGCTCAGAAATCAATCGATGCCAAGACCCAAAAGATCCAAATTATAGTATATTACTGGAGTGCAACTTATTTATTACTTGTAAAACTATTTTTGGTTCTTCCTTCACCACTCAAAGTTCGCTATTCCAGTAATATAAAAACCAGCCTAGAAACCATTTGTACTATCTCTGTAAAAATTTTGCCAACTTGCTTCTAGTAAGTTGACCAAAGTTTTGAATAGGTCGTGGTTTTCAAAATTAGGGGAAAATTAAAAATGTAATCAGGGCGGTTCTCTTTGGTAGGAAAGTTTAGTTAGTTTAATAAATAGGTAATAAAGGGAATGATTATAGGTCTACGAACTCTTTCAAAGTTATAATATTAAAATAAAATAATTTATCTTAGCTTACATCTAGCTAAATAACATCTTGTAAATACAAAACAATCAATTATGCAGTAAATAAAACAAAATATATATAAAAAAAACCAAAACCACTTTTACTGGTTTTTTGGCGAGCAGTCACCCTCAAACTGTTTAAGCAATATACAGTTGCCCCTAAACTGTGTCGTTTCGATTCCCAGCCAAAATAAATTCAATACTTTTTCTAGTTTGTTTTTGAAGGACATTTTTATTATACATATGTTTATGTAGTATGTAATAGATCACATAAAGCAAAAAGAGAATATTTTACTACTTTTTTGTTTTTGTGTATGATCATGATTCTTCGTGGCTTGTGGATGTGCCAATAATCCCTTTTGAGCTCTCAGCTTCAGCTCAAATGTAGGGACTTTTAATGTGTTTATGTGGATGTCGATGATTTAAGTTTAAACGTCAGTTAATTCTCTACGTATTATTACGATTTTAGTAAATTACAATTACAATACATTATATAGTACATAGTATGTAGGTAGAGTACGAATACGTTAACTATTCAAATAGATTTTTATTCATTTTCCGTATTTTGTGATTTTTTTATTTAAAAGTTATTTGGGTTTTATTACTTTTTTTGTGTGTGGTTTTGTTTTTCGTTAATTTTACATACATATATTAAATATATTTACGAACATAACAGCAGTCTTATATAAGATGACATACTCATTTTATTGTTTTCATTAGAGGGTTTTGAGTTCATTATCCATTCTGAAAGTTTGAATGTGAGCTATCGGGTAGGGATACTACTTGCATCTCCTGGCTGAAAACTCGATGGGGCTTCGGAGATCCGAAGACGGTTTTCGTTTATATAAAAGTTGTTTGGCTAAACTAGGGCGATCCGTTTGGCATCGCTTAAGCGTGAGGTCTTAAAGATATTGTATTTAGATGTAAGTATTCATCGATAGCTAGGTGTTATATCTATAGGGACGCTGAACTATTTAGTTTAGTTGTGATTAATTTTTAAGACGCTGCGCGTCTGCGAAATGCGCTCTGAAAAGTTTTGTTTTATTTTGTTTTGGCGGCTGACTAAATTGATGTATGTGTATGTATATGTATACTTGATGTAAATATCGTATTTTAAAAATTTCATTTTTTGTTCTTTTTGAATGCTTAAGGAACCCGATTCTGCTTGGATAGGAAGTTCGATTGAATTGGGGTCGTACAATGATATACAATCGCCGAGAGAATGCACAAATATATTTTGTATTCATATAGTATATTTTGTATTTGTTTGGGGACTTTACACTTAGGGACGTTCGAACACTATAAATAAACAATTACAATACATGCACGGACACACACTCACACAGCTACAGATGTATGCTCTGTTTCTATAAATAATAGCGTAATCTATAATTATAATACTATAACTACTGTAGAGTTATTGTGGCTCCTAAGTGGAAACGCCTCCCAGTTTCCCCTAAATTTGTAGCTAACTATTTATGTTTGAAATATTCGACATTTATAAATTTTGCATTTCATTTCCGCCTTTCATTTCACTCGCTCAAAGTTGCCTTGGCAAGCTCGCGACCTATAATTTTCCTAATTCAGATGGTCTCACGAAAACGATTTCCGTGCACTATTTTGCTTCTGTGGATTTCTTTTAGACAATTTATGGTTTTCAATTAAAATGACGTAAACAACTGATTGGGGAGAGACCCTTTACTAAGATTTCATTGAAATTGTACACGGGAAAGAGGTTTCTTAAGTTCTAAATATAGGGTTCGGGAATTCCACCAACCAGTAGGTTAGAAAGTTATGTGTTTATGCGTATAAAAATCAAAAATTTAATTTAACTACAATAATGACTAGTTGAAGAAAACTCTCCAAATGTATTTACTAAAATGTTGTCGTTTGTATAATTAATTTTTTTTTTTAAATTTTTGCTTTGTTTTGTTTTTCTTTTTTCATTAAATTTAAAATTATCTAAAGCTGTTTTAGAGAAGCTTTTCTAAGCAGGCTGCTTAACATGGTTGAGATTAGTTTTAATGATTTTTTGTGTGTGCTAGTGGGTGATTTTTTCATAGTTGCGAAATGCTTGGAATTTGTTTCTGTTTTGTTTTTTGCATTTTGTTTTTTGTTTGTATTTTGGAAGCCAATGGAAATTCTTGCTTCTTGTTGCCTAGTCTAGGAAAACTTCTCTAAGGACCATTGGGCAGCGCCCGACTCCCTCACTTAACCCTCCTTGATTAATTGCTGCAGCTTCTGCATCCTTTTCTCATCTCTGCCTTATTGACGAATCCTCTTTCTCCGCCTCTTGTCAGGTTTGTTAGACAGTTAGTTACTACTTCATCACAGCCAACTCTCTTGCCTTTCAGCGGCGCCCAGCGGTTCCGCCTCTGGTCGCGCATACTTCATCCGATCTGCTGATCAGTTGATCGTTTTCTTGAAGAGATTTTGGTGAATGTGCTCGTTCTGCAGCGCGCACATTTGGCCCACAGCAACCGCCCGCAAACCACCGCCTGCTCCTGATCCGCCGGAAATGCCAACATCCGATTGGTGTCCCATGGTTGAGCTCACTCCATCGCCTGCCTGTGAACTGGACACCGTTTTGCCGGCCCTCAGATTCAGGAAGAACTTCTCCTTCATGGCCAGCGCGGAATACTTGTGCTCAATGAAGTTGGGCGAGATCTGCATGTGCAGGGAGCTCCCGGTGGTCGGCAGTTTTGCTGGAGCGATTGCTGTGGACCTCTTGCTAACGGACAGGACAGCCGTCGGCGGCTTGCTGGAATCGCTGCTGCCGTGGTTGCTGTTGGGATTGCTGAGGTTGCTGTTGTTTGAGCAGGAGTAAGAGGTTTCTGCAATAGGTAGAGAAAAGGAAAAGAAGTAACGAAAAACATAAAATAAAAACAAAACAAACGAAACTAAACGAAAATAAAGAATACCCAAAATTCGACAGAGATGGAATTGCTAATAACTAGGGAATCAATTAAAAATATTGCACGAAGTCGAAGGTCGTCTTAACCTAATGAGCAGACTTTAGATATCCGAGTAGATGTGTGTGTTTTTTATATGTATATCTCGTATAATTAAATTCATTTTGCTAGTGCTTAGAACATAAATAATACTTGGATTTAGTCGAATACGAATAGTCACTAAAGCTAAAGCCGAGATTAAAAAATTTGTAAGTGGTAATGCTAACAATAATTAAAGTGTTCAGTTGGAAATGAATATGAATTTAGCATTTTCTTGTGTATTTTTACAATTGTTGCTCGTGCTTCGTCTGTGTTAGTGTTTTTTTTTATCCTAATTAAATTAAGAGGAGATCAGCAGTTGTAAATAGTTTAATACAAGCATGAAAGTCATACATACAATCGAAAATGATTAAAATGTTCTCTTTAAATATACAGAATCAAATATTGCACAATCACTGCGATTTGTGGGATTGTTTCCATAAGTTGTATGATACAATTGATTTAAATTGATTGGATTCAGGGTCTAAACTAAAAACAAGTAAGCAGTCTACGAAATGTTTCCAAATGGGTGTTTTGGTGAGTGAGTGGGTTTGTCTGCCCCTAAGATCGGCATTCTGTCGAGTCTAGAATGTCTTTCGTATACGGACAAGCTGGTCAATTTAGTGCCTTGGGTGGTTCCAGCGTCAGTTTTCGGTGCATCAGTAGCTGCTTGAGTATAGGCTACGTCTCTTCGTTGACAGCGCCAGCGCCTACAACTTCAATGCCCGCCACTGTTGCTCCTCCTATGTCCTCCTTGCAATCTGTGATGCTGGCAATCGCTGCAGCCACGCTCTCCGAAATGCCGTCGCTCTGACCCTCATCCGTCTCCATGGGTTCTATTAGTTCCAGTTTGCCCTTCTTCAGCAGCTGTTGCTGTTGCTGCTGCGGGGTGGGCGAGCTGCTCTTGCTGCTGTTCCCGCTAATGCTGCTTGTGGGACTGATGGGCAGAACGTGGTGTTGCTGCTGCACCTGCTGCTGGTGTTGCTGTTGTTGCTGTTGCTGCTGCACCTGTTGCACCAACTGGCTTGGCTCCTGTAGTAGCAATATGTTGGTCTTCTTGGCCAACGAGGCCACTAGAGCCTGCTGCTGCTGGGTACTGCCATTCGTGGTGGTGAAGGTGAGCGTTTGGGTGTTTTTGGTGGGTGAGGTGGCCGGCGTGAGAATGCCCAAGTTGACCAAATTGGGCAGCGGTTTGCTGCCATTGAGCACTGTTTGGCCACTAGTTGTGGTCTTGTTGTGTTGCTGTTGCTGCTGCACAATGTCCATAGTGGAGCCACCATTGGCCACATTGGTGGCCAGCTTGAGTATCTTGCTGGCTGTGGCATTGGCAGCCATCAGATTACTAACAGACTTGGCTGTCGGCGTGTTGTTGGTTTTAATGGATACTAAACCGAGTGTGCTGCGCATTAAATTGTTGTTGCTGTTACCTGTTGCAGTGTTTTGATGGAGTTGCTGCTGCTGTTGTTGCGGCTGCGGCTGTTGCTGCTGATGTTGTTGCGTGGGAAGATTGGTCAGGGTGACCACATTCCCGGCACTGAGCTGCTGCAGGACATTCCCGTTGCTAGTGAGAATGGCAGTGTTGCTAGTAGTGCTCCCATTGTTGCCATTATTTCCGTTGGACAGACTGCCATGACAACTGCTGGCGCTGCTCGACATGTTGCTGATGCTCGACGGACTCAACGAGCCCAGCGACTGAGACGGCGAGTTGCTGCGCTGAATGATGGGCGGTGGGTTTGGATTGGAGGAGCTGTTGCTGCTGCCCACGTTCGTGGCCGCACTGGCCCCATCGCCAATGGCCAACGCATTGGCCAGCTGGGCATTCAGCACACTATCCGGCTGCGAGTTGTGGGTGTGCAGAGCGTGGTTCTTCAGGCCCTGGGCCGTTTTGTAACTCTTGCCGCAGTGACACTTGTAGCCCTTGCGAACTCTGTGAAACATAGAACAATGAGCTTCCTCTTTGCCAATCAATAATTTCGTGGCCCATTGTTACCTTCCATCCTTTTTGTGACCGTTCTTCGAATGGTACTTGATGCCGTTGACATTCTTGTAACGCTTTTTGCATCCTGGAACAGGGCAGGCGAAGGGTTTCTCATTGCCGGGCGTGCCATTGTTTCCACCACCGGAATGCCTATTGAAGATAATCATAATTTAATCAAACAAATTATGACAAATAACATGATTCATTCAAGTCATAAGTGCCGTATTCGTGCAAGAATAATAATTCAATGTTTCAATAGCTAAAACTGTATTAAAATGTACACAAACGAACCTGCTGCCGTAGCGCATGATAAACTCGGAGCTAAACTCCTCGGTGGTCCAGGAGTCGTTGCTATCCTCCGACTCCGTGACCACCATTTCGTCCTCGTCCATTTCGCTGCCTAATGGGTGTAGAATCAGCAGTTTAGAGTCATCCTTATGAACATCGTTTGCAATATCACTCACCTGTGGGCGTGGTGCTGCGGTTGGACGAGGACATACTGTAGCTGTGGTGCTTAATGGCCAGCTTTCGCTTGAGCTCCACATTGCCATTCCCATGGCCAGCGGCATTGGATCCGCTGTTGGTGGTCGGTGGGCCTGTTGTGTTGCTGGCCAGGAACGAGCCCGCCTCCTTGCGGTTCTCCTCCGTGATGAAGCGCAGGATGTAACTTAAGGGCAGGCAGGCAGGCTGGGCCTGCTCCTTCTGTTCGACCACCTTTGGGTCATAGTCTGCAAGAAAACAGGTCTGTTATTATACATTCGTTGCAAAAGAAATCAATTTGAAACCACAACATATATGGATTGTAATGTTTTGAATAAAACTGGTAGTACTTAGGTACCCTGCTAGAAAGTCACCGAAACGGGATTACCTAATTAAATATTCCCTTTCGAGACGGGATCGGAAGCCGAACGGGAATGCGGGCAGCTAAGCGCGAAACCTGCATCTCAAAATTCGTCGTCAACCTCTGTGTTTACTCTGGAGCAAGTTCACAGACATTCAAGGGGCCCACAGCCCGGGCAATTTATTATTAAAATGCCGAAATAAGTAAATAGCGAGAGTGCACGTACGGGGTATGGTATGGCGACGCATTTAGTGCGCTTGCTGACGCATTTTCCGAGGGGTTAATGGAGGAACGGCATGGGGTTTCGATCTGGGACTACGACGGAGTACTCCGGCCAGGAGGAGCACATGGTCTGCGGCGTGGGTACGTTATCTTATCGCCAGAACAAGCATAAGCCCAAAGCTTGCTTAATCAGCGAGTGCATAATAACAGGTGCCTCTCCTCAGTTTGTCCCCTTCGTCGTCTTTATTTACTTTTCGATTCGTTTGTCTGCGCGCAACCTAACCTCCATGAGCACGCTTTATTTCCCAATTAAATCGCTTTGGTGCGTAACTGTGTCAGCCGGGCCATTCATCATATTCGCCACCTCGCACCCTGTACATTTGTCATCCGATTGCAGTTCCAGTTAACGAGGGGCTGCTAAACGATAAAATAACGTGCATCGATCAGCTGCGGATCTCACACATGATTGTCCCACTGCAGGTTATATAAAACCAGCTGGTTTATTATAAGGGGCAACTTTGACCGCCAGACAAGGTATACTTTCAGATTCAGATTTCTTCTAGCATTCTTCAGTCTTAACCCCATCTGTTGTCATTTCATGGACTAGACCTCGTAGCATTAGTGACTTAATATCAATAACTGCATTACCGTCCCACAGCGCCCACGTGATAAAAGTTCGATAACGTTGCAGTTTAATTACTTCGATTCGTACTCGTGGGCAAGCGGATAACATATGCCGCAAATTAACTATTATGCGAAACATATGCTTTCATTTGGCCCCTCCCGCGCCTCGCAGTTCTGGTCGCTTATCAAACCGAAAGGCGATTAAAAACATTTGCGGGAGTGATTGCGGTGATGACTACGTGCCGACAATCAATGGATGACACATACGGACATGCGAACATACGGACACGCCATATGTGCGTAATAGTTCCACGTACTTTTTCAACAAGTATCAATTGCCTTGGACATTCGCCACTTGGAACTGCATTTATATACCTGTATTTAAGCTGACGAAATCGATGTGCCACGCCCCTCATCCTCTCGAGAACACGGCGTCATTTGTCAACGGTCAAATCAGTTCACCCGGTTCGATTGGGTTTTTTTTATTTCTGCTCCGCCTTCGTTATTGTTATTATTATTTTGCTGTTGATAACCCCATACACTCACGACTTCTCTGTAGGTGACTTTTTGCTCTTGCCTCGGATTTTTGTTTTTTCGCTGTTCCAGAATTCATAACTGCTCAGAAACAGCATAAAATCGGTGATTATGCGCTCGAGATGAATACTTGTCGGTGATTCACTACTAAATGGAACTGCAGGGTATCAAATCGAGTATTTTACAAACAGCTTTCAAGCAAATAGCCTACATATGTACATATCGTAGCCACATCCAATCCCACATCTGTATATGCGTCGTATATCATACGATTTTCGTATTTCAGATACAAAATAAACGCAGATTCCTCTCTCTTTTGCACTCGTGTGACTCATGCACTTGTTGCAGAATTTAAAAACGATAACAAATGTTTTTTTCTTGCTTGAACATGCTGTTTTGGTTTGTTTTCATTTCGGCAGCTATCTCGAAAACTTTCCAATAGCTGTGAAGAGCGATTCGTTCGAAATTTGAGCAACACAAGTCGTTGACTGCAGCCAAATTATGTTGACATGGCAAGTGCAGGGATACCAATCTAATTGATTTAAACCATTAAATAAACTGCAAAGTTCATAAAATAAGAAATGGTTAAAGGGGAGCGATACTTCATCACCCAATAAATAAAAAAAGTCACAGAAATAACCTTGTAAACCAACTAGAATGTCAAGGTCAAAAGGGTTTGCACCCAAAAATACGTACATATATACTCATTCCCCGAAATTTCAAGGCACGATGGCCTTTACAAAGAAATCCCCAGATTTGTTTGTTAAATACCCCGATTTATACAATCCTCGTTTCGTCTGCAAAACCCAATACCTGTTTAAAACTGTACTTCTACAGAGACTGGTTACTTTGAAAATCAATCTTAGATGAAACCAAATGCGTTTTGGTGACTCATATGGCGAGTAACATAGCTAACTAGAATCTTATCTTTCAGATGAAATTCCCCGTCAAAACTGCCAAGTGGATTTTAAAGAAGTGAACGAATTGACAGGTGCACAGATACTTTTGGGCCGCCTTTCGCAGCTAGTTATCTAAATGCGAGTGCAGAATCACTCTCGTAAATAATTTATCCCGGGCATTTTCGGGACCGCACAACAGGTGCCTGGCAACTGTGAAAAGGACAAACCTGAAGGTCTCGCCCGCCTTTTGTGTTGCCATGACTACCGAACCGAGACGAAACGGCAACGCCCAGCGAGTCCTGATAACAGGCACACATCCAACCAACCAACCAACCATCCAGCCAGGCAGCCACTCGGAGGTCCCACGCATCGAATGTCCTTCGAGATAATGAAATGATGGGCATTTATAAGCCCTAGAACAGCTCGCTCACGTAATGGATACGCAATGGAAATGGGGAAATGGGATATGGGGGATGCGGGTTTTCGGGGCCTCGGGCGTATTTGGTATCTGGGCCTGGGCGTTTTTGGGGGTGGCAGTTGCCAAGTGGGCGTATGCTCGTGCCTGGGTTTTATGTAATGCCCCGGGACGCAAAAGGGGGTGGTGGCTAGGTGGAAAAGCCTGCCCGGGCAGCCATTTTATATGTGCAAGTGTGTGTGTGTGAGTTGACCGTTATCACGCAGCAGTGGCAACAACAAAACAGCTGCCAACGTAATCGTCAGCTGAGCAACCCCTCAGCTTTCTCTTTCCAACCCCTCTCTCTTTGAGTGTGTGAGAGAGCCTGTTTGTACACGGAAAGAAATTGAAGTGCGCTGGGCAATTAAATAATGTGTGTGGAGCGTACACAGTAGGCCAGCTCTGCATTCAACACTTAACTTCGCTCGTGAACTATGTAAAGATATTGACTTAGAGTGATGATTGCACTCATTAGTTATTTTTATGTGCAATGCATGTTCACAAAACGAGTCTTGTTTGTAAACGTACTTTTAAATATTCACAGTGTAAGACGCACGGCATGTTGGGAATAAATAAAGCCCGTTAACGGTTAAACCACCCCCAAACCCCTGTTTTCGTAATACGGCAACACTACTGAGCTTAACTCTATTGATTTTTCGCCCTCGAAAACCCCGCCCCTTGCCGAACAATCACTAAAATTAGAATTTGTTTATTTCAGCCGGTAAAAGTCCACAAACACACACACACACCCTGGAAATGATTAATTGGAAGCCCACGGGAGTCACGTGGACGGGAAAGTTCAAGTATCGATTGTAATTGAGATTGCGATTGTGCGTGTGAGAGGAGAGTGGAAGGCGAAAGGGGTGGCCGAGAAGCGCATCTCCAACTTCCAACTCCGATTACCGGATGCGGATACACCTGCCATGGAAACGAACGCCAGAAGCAGAAAAACCCAAGCCAAGCCATGCGGACAGGTCAAAAAAAGGGCGCTCAACTCGCCGGTTTCCACTACACCACAAACAACAAAACTAGATGCTGTGCTGGCCTTCCAAACGCACACACACACACACGCTAAGGCACACAGACAGGCGGGGGTATTGAATGGATCACCGGCTTTTTTGCTTTTGTTTTGCTTGTGCTGCCCTCTCGCTCGCACCCGCACTTTCCAGCCAGCGCACCGATCAACGAATGCTGTACGCGCCTGGAATAGGGCGTGTGTGTGCGGCGTGCATCGGTGTGCGTGGGCACAGGTAGCCATTTCCAGGCTTCCAACATCGATTTTGCCTTTAAAGTGCAGTAAACGCCAAATGCAAACTGCAATTCATATTGTAGAAACAACATCCAATTCACCACGAAGCCGTTCACGCACTCACACACTGACGCACTCGCACACCTTTGCCCCGCTCCGCACCGTTTTGTTTTTTTTATTTATGCCGCGGCGAGTAAATAAAATAAACAAAACACACCGAGAACATCACGCGACGGTCAAATGATAGCGATATTTACGGTGTTTACGACCCGTCTCACCTATGTGGGTGTCCTCGATGTGGGAAATCAGATCGCTCAAGCTCGGAAACGTGATGCCGCAGCCATTGTACTTGCAGACGTTGATCAGGAAAACGGCCATAATATATATCGTATTATCATATATATATATATCACGGATTCCGAGGCGAACGAATGTGGCGAGTTATGTAAAAAAACAGCAACTAAATCGGGGGCTGGTCAGTGTGGCCAGGTCAACACTGCACCAAAACGTCCATTTCCCAGGGCTGCAGTTTCTGCTTAGCGGCGACTCCCACCCACTTCCAAGGTGCCGTGGTAACTTTTGGGGTTATGTGGCGTTTGATCGGGCGAATACTGTTTGTCGGTAATGAAGCGATAGTAAGTCGCTTTCAAAAGTCAGCAGCCGGACATGGCTTGTTTTTGTTTCAGCGATAAACCCTGTTTGTACTGCAATTCAGCCGCTGCTGTCGTCTCTTTCCCTACGCCGCTGCTCGGTGTGGTGTGTTTCGGTTCTCTGGCGTTTCCTCACACACACACACTCATGCGCAAGTGCTGTTATGCAATTGAGGGCTGCAACATTTTGGGGGCGTAATTGGGTTTAACTGATTTCGAATTAGAATCTGTATTCAATCTACTTACAGCATTCTGTGCTTCGATTGAGTTGCCTTCGCAGTTGCCGCTGGGTAATTAGAACATCATTTAAGCCGACGTGACGTAGACACAAACACCGACGTCGAACGACGCGTTATGTTGCGTTTGTGGTGGTGTGCGTGACTTTGGTGAGTTGCCCCATAACCAGGGTTGCACACTGCATTGTCGGGCCCTTAGCAAAGGCCCCCTCCCAACCAAGGAATTACTCAATCAAATCTAGCAAATACACCTTCCTAACACATTTTATATTTCCAAAACACAAACTTAGTTTTCGATGAAAAAATGCCGGCCGGCTCTAGTCATTTACTCGTGTCTTGTTCCAGAAATAAATTATAAAAAATAATAAATAAATTATTTAGAGGATTGTTATTGCTCACAAAATTAACTTTTGTCAAATTTCGAATTGGGCTCATTTGAATTTACTTGATATTAACTTATAAATTTGTTTTATATTTTAACTTATTTTTGTGAAATTTTGACCAATTTTTATTTATAAGTATTGAATTTAATATTTTCGACCCTATAAAATATATTTTGATTTTGATATACATACATATATGATTTTCATATATTTCATTTTCAGATATTTTGATTTTCATATATTTGATTTTCATATATTTGATTTTCATATATTTGATATATTTAATATTTCCAAAATACAAAATTAGTTTTTGATGAAAAAATGCCGGCCGGCTCTAGTCATTTACTCATGTCTTGTTCCAAAAATAAAAAATTATAAAAAAAAAAATAAATTATTATATACCCTATATATACCCTATCAACTTTTGAAACGACCAGAAATGTGTTGCATGAAGCACGATAGATAGATATTATTACTGCTTAAGTAGGGTAATATTTAATATACGCAATTTCATACAGTTTTGTAATTACTGTTGTTCAAACTTTAAAAAATTTCGTTTACGACATGTATGTGTTCAAACCAAATTCAAATATATATTGGGAAAAGAAAAACATAGGTAATCGTTAAATTACTTTCTTGGCTCTATGTGAAATTCCCATTTCTAAGTCCCTTCTCGTTTCCCAGTAGACTTTATTTTCTGTAAGAGCAACAATTTTATTTTGAATTAAAAAATAAACAGAATGATGCAGTGGGAAAGGGCTATCAGCGTGATTCGTGCGATCAATTAGTGATATGGTCACACTGCGTCTTGTTTGCAAATCCAACCGCACAGTCTAGCGGATACTCTCATCTATTTTATGTCTATGCTAAACATTTGCATCGAGGTCCAGCACCATGGTTTGAGTCCTCGCTCAAAATGGTATTCCTGGTACTTTAGTTTATATGGTCACACTGCGTCTTGTTTGCAAATCCAACCGCACAATCTAGCGGATACTCTCGCCTGGCTTGTTTATATGCTAAACATTTGCATCGAGGTCCACCACCATGGGTTGAGTCCTCGCTCAAAATGGTATTTCTGGTACTTTCCAGTATTAAAATCGATCGATCGGTTTATTTTCACCATCCGCTGACGGTCACACTGAGCACCCCCCAAAAGACAGCGAAATTGTCAAATTCGTTTTACTGTTGTGAAGGGTTTGTTCGAAGTGAGTTGCTCTCTCCGGGGATTTTCTGCCCGCCTGCGAAGCACCCCCTTATCAGCACCCCTCTGTTGGGTAACAGCCGTGAAAACTCCTCAGATAGCAAAAAATCGCGAAACAGCCTACTGTCAGTGAAGAATCAAGTGAAATTTCGCCAAATTAAATGCAAAACGTGTTGGAAAATTCGCCGCCATCTTGCGGCACACACACACACACGTGTGCCAGTCTGGTTTGCAGTGGTGTGCGTGTGGGCCTCGAGTCGTTGCGTCACTGGAAAAGTCCGAAAATCGGCTAATTCGCAAAGGAAAAGCCAGCAAAACGTTTTTAATTGATAACTGAGCAGAGATCGAGAGTCTAGTGAAAATCCGGTGCGAGGGCAGATTTTTCGGTTGTTACGTAACTTCCCTGAGGCGGCGTGGAACTAGATATGATGTACTCTTGAGATAGAAACTCAGCCCAGAACTAACCGATATCTTCGTCTATATCTTTTGCAGAGCCGTGCGCTAGCTTCAATTTTGTCGTAAGCAAAACAAAAAGGAAATTCAACCGAAAATGTTCGTGTCGACAGTCTCTCGCATTGCCCCCGTTGCCAGGAGCGCCGTAAGTACCCCCCCTTTTTTATGCCTCAATTGTGCGAGATGGAGTAAAATGTGCGAGGAATTACATAATTATCGGAAAAGTGCATTGATTTTCCTAATGGAACCATTTAAAAGTCGCCCTGCCGTGGTGAACTTCCAATGGCCGCGGTGAGAAAACACGGACGGCACACAGTTGCATAACTTTGAGGTTATGTGTGCGTCCAGTGGCAGCTACTAATTAAATTCAAGAAATTGTGAATTATCGCTCCATATCTGTGCGTAGAGTTTAGTGAGCTCTTTTATCTGCGATTTCGCAGAATATCCCTTTATTGTATAACACCTGGTTTAAGGCCTGTAGTGTGTTGCTTTGAGGTTAGAACCGGCGAAAGCTTTCCAGTAGAGCGATGACGACGGAGAGAGGTGCGGGGTAACACAAATTGGAAAAAATTGGCATTGTTTATAAAACTATAGTTGTTAATATCGGACCACCAACAACAATACCAGGAGCCTCCGAAGAACAACAAACACAGCAGCCAAAGTGCCAATCGCAGAGAAATTACTTAACGATTGCATAACTTGGCATTACAGCAGAGCAATGAACTTGGTCGGCACTCGAGGGTTAAGCTGTAGTGTATTTGGCAAGATTCGGCTATATATGGCTTTAATGCCCTAACAACTAAATTCCCACGAGATAGAATCATGCACAAATAGTTCTTACCGGTGCAAAGCAATTGAATTTCGGGCATTTATTTATTTCGGGCAAATTTTCAATATTAGTATTCTTCAATTCTTAACTTATAAATGTGATTGTAAACATATATGAATCAACGCTATTTCTATTGTTGTCTATTATTAGCTCTTAATAGTTACCAAAAATGTAAAAAGTATTTAAAATGATGCACAATATCCCTTATCAGGGCGAAAAACTTTATCTCAAGCAATGTACACAAGTCGGGGCATGCCCCTTATATAATCGACTAACGCACATCTACCATTTCAGTTCCTCGCCAACTCCAAGCAGTACCTGCGACCATTGAGCAGCGCCATCATCAGCCAGAGCCAGACTTTGGCCGCTCAGAACACAACCCCCGTTGCATTGCTGCCACAGATCAGGTCATTCCAGACCTCGCCAGTCACGCGTGACATTGACTCGGCCGCCAAATTCATTGGCGCTGGTGCCGCAACAGTCGGTGTCGCTGGATCCGGTTCGTATTGGTTTCGTTGGGCACCGCACCTCATACACCACTTTCCTAGATCGCCGGGATCAGAGGGGATCCCCAGCCGCCTTTGGCTCCTTCTCCTCCAGTCAGTTGCAAACTAGCATCTGGGGCTCACACAACGAGTATCTGATTACTCCACGAACCATTGCCCCGGGAAGGTCTGAGAATTGGCCGAGCATGCTGTTTGTTGCGGCTCCATTTCCCAGCAGGAAACCTGTGTGATTGCAGGGCGAAAGTACCAGAAATCCTGCTACCAGGCGTTGCCGTTCCCTCGGGGACCGCCGCCTGGTTGGCATTGAAACCTTTCGTGGCCAGCGTTTTTAGTGCGATGTGCTTGCTGCCTTCCAGGCAGAACTCAATTCAGACTAATCTGTGACTGACTACCTGGAGCAAAGAGCCAAAGCGGCGTCGGGGTGACCCATCCCTCATTGTCCCAGTTCCCACTTGGGGAAACAAACACTTTTAAGAACTTCGGTTAAAGCCGAAGATTTCAACTGACTGGGACATTTTACTAATGCTTTGATCTTCTTTCTCTTCCCAATTTGCCGACCAAAAAACAACGAACCAATACAACAGGTGCTGGTATCGGAACAGTATTCGGTTCCCTCATCATCGGCTACGCCAGGAACCCATCGCTGAAACAGCAGCTGTTCTCCTACGCCATTCTGGGCTTCGCCCTGTCCGAGGCCATGGGTCTGTTCTGTTTGATGATGGCCTTCCTGCTGTTGTTCGCCTTCTAAGCGCGCTTGCTGCACATCGATTGCTCGTCCTTGTTTCCTGCAATCGGGCGTGTGTGCGAGTCGCATGCGAACGAGAATAGCAACAAAACAACACTTCAAACAAACAACAACCAGAACAAGCAACACCAACGTTCGTTTTCGATTATTAATGATAAAATGATTGATTGATAGCAAACAAGAACATCCTGTATCACTATCTAATTATAAATACCAACAACCACGTAATACAAGTAATTTTGTTTTTAAAAAACATGCGAGCGAGGAGAAGATCACACCTACTTTAAGTTGAACAACCGAAATATCAGGAGGAAGGATTGGCTTCAATCGGATTGGATTAGCCCACGCCCAGACGACAAATATTAAAATTAGATTTTAATTGAAGCAAGCTTCCGGCTCACCGTAAACCCAAACGATTCCTCGGAAGAAGTCCAGCCATCCTCTTGCACTCTGCACATCCGGCGGTGGATCTTCACTGCCCGCCAACCAAGGCTCTCTCTCTCCCCCCGAAGTTCTTGGACATCGAAACGGCAAATATCTTCAGTGGCAGGCAAGGCGTGGAGATCACCTCTGCAAGTAACATCTTGGATTGGCGAGTGTATGGGCGTGGCTGGTCGGAGATCCGGTGGATTGTTGGGTTCAACGACTTTTCGATTTTATTGTGGCGCGTACTGAAAACCTAGGTTTTTTTCAAGTATTTTGTATTCGAAAAAATCAGTTACTTTATGTAAACGCTGTTTTTGTTCATTGCCACTTAATGTTTATGATGGAACTTGTACTAAAAGTAGTTGCAAACGAAATGAGCCGAAGAGCGCAGCTGAAATCTGAAATAAAGGAGAAATGAATGTGTAATGGAAGCATCAAGTTTGTTTTTATCTGATGTATGATTCAATAATTTGTTTGATAGTTTGCACAGTCGCGCATAATGTTGGAAAAGTCAAATTTCGGCGCCCAAATGCAGCTCTGTTGTGCTTAAACCGAAATCACCCTATATCCGCTAGAACTTATCGGCATAGGTAGCCCTGTAATTTTTATTAGTGATGACAAATTAATTCACGATATCGATAACGGCTGCGCTGCACGTGCATATTTGTTTATTTTGTTTTAATTCTTTGTTTGCGCTCATTCTGATGGATTTCGCCAAGAAAATACTTGGAAAGTACGGCTGGAAGGAGGGCGACGGCTTGGGCAAGAACAACACGGGAATTGCAGCTCCATTGAAGGCCAGTCTGAAGTTCGATAACGCGGGTCTGGGAGTGGATCGCGCCCAGGAATTCAATGACCATTGGTGGGAGCGCTGCTTTAACGAGGCCGCCAGCAATGTGGACGTCCAGATTCAGCAAGACGGACAGGTGTCCACCTCCCGCAGGAAAGGCGAGGAAGCGGTGGAGATCTCCACCAGCGGATTCTCCGCGCGTAAGCTGAAGAAAGCCAAGGAGCAGCACGCCAGCGATGGAAAGACCACCTACGACAACTTCCTGCAGACTTCGCTGCTCACCCAAGGCGGCAACGAAGTTGAGACCTCCGAGCGCATCAAGGTGGAGGAGATTGAGGTCGCCAAGGTGGCGGTGCTCACAGATGAAGAACTCTTTAAAGCCTGCGGAGGAAGGACTGCGCACAAAGGAGCACGGCATGGCTTAAAGTTAAGCGGAAAGATCGCCCGCTTGGAGCAGCAGGAGCGCGAGATGCTGGAGAAGCTTCAGAGCAAGCTGAAGACTACGCCTGAAACCACTCTGGTTCCGAAAAGCGGAAAGTTGATTGAGGAGACCCAGCACAAAGTAGCAGATTCAGTGGATTGCAGTGTGGAGCAGGCTACGAAGCCCAAAAAGAAGAAAAAGTCTAGGACTGAGGAGTCCGTCGAGGAAATTGCGCCTGCCCAACTGGAAGAGCCCATAAAATCCAAGAAAAAGAAGAAAGACAAGGCTGAGAAGGCGGCAAAGGAATACTCAACACATCAGGCTCAAGACGACCCCGTCCAGATCAAGAGGAGAAAAAATAAGACAGGGAAGCTAGAAGAGGAAGTCCAAGATGTTACGGAAGTCGAAGAGGCAGTGAAGATAAAAAAGAAGGACAAGAGGCAGCAAGGGGTAGAAGCAACTGAAGCCTTAAGCATTGAAACTGATGAACATGTAAAATCCAAAAAGAAGCGGAAAACGGAAGACTCCTCAGAGGAAACCGAAACTCCCACAAAAACCAAAAAGAAAAGAAAGAACAAGGAACTCGTGTAATAGTTATAGTCTTCTCTAGAATAAACGATGTTAGAAAAATTTAATTTATGAAGACCGCACTTATGGAATTCTTGAATTCTAGAGTTTTCCACATTTCAAAAGTATGGCTATGTGCACACAAAATGTAATGTATTTATGGTTCTAAAAAATCTATACACGATTTGGGGCTTTATAAAACTAGAGTTTGGTCACCTAAAGATAGTCGGCAGTCCCAGGGGACTACTTTCTGCCCTTGGCCTTAATGCGTCGCGATTTGCCAAGACGTTTGTTGACCGAAGCACCCGCCTTCACGCCCCGCTGCCGCCTTGTGGACTTGTCGCCATCCAATCCCGCGGAGGAGGACTTTGTGTTCCTCTTGAGGCCCTTCTTCTTGCCTCCAAAGCCGAACTTCTTGTTGCGCTTCTTGCGATTCTCGGCTGACTGCTTCTGCTTGGACTCCAGCGCCTTGGCGTCCTCCAGGAAGTCCAGGTTCTTCAGCTTGCCCTTGCGGAATTTCTTCAATTTGTCCAGCATGTCCTTCTTCTCGGCCTCGCGTTGGACCTTGGTCTGTTTGGCCAGCATCTTGCCCATTTTGCGCTGTTCGCGGATCTGCTTGATGCGCTCGGATTTCGCCTGTCCTTGCTGTTTGGCCATCAGGTTGGCGCGGACCTTCTGCATGTGCTCGTCAGACTTGGCCATTTCGGCGAAGTAGTCATCTGGCCGACGGGTCTTTATGCCCAGCTCGTGCAGGCGGGGAATGGCCTCTAGAACAGCACTTTGCGCCTGTCGATGGAAGAGCATCTCCCTCTTGAAATCGTTCAGAACGGGATCCTCCTCGGGCCGAATGTAGGGCAGCTTGGCGTTGCCTTTGAAGAGATTGGCCCGCTTTTGCTCGTGCTTCTCCAGCTGTACAGCGAGTTCCGGGGCCAGGGGAGCCAGTGTGTTGATCATGTCCAGGCGCTCCAGCCAAGGAAGTTGCATCTTGATAGCCTCTGTTTTTGCCAGCAGTTTGGTCTGGGTGGGCACAACTGGATTAGTGGATTTGTGAGCGGGCATCCGCTGACTACTTACCACATCATTCACTTTGTCTCTCTGGCCATTGAACTCCAAGTTTAGGCCTGGTTTTAAGTCGCCTCGTTCAAATGCCGCTTGCAGCTGCATAAAGGAATGAGGTTTTTGCTATACAGAAGCTTCATTTTCAAGTTTTATCACTTACCTCGGCATCTGAGTTATCACCTGAATCGTACCCCGAGGCGCTGTCCTCCATTTCAAAGTCCGACATGTCTGTATTAACTAAATTAAAGGCGATCCAAATAAAAGAAAACAATTTCAACACGTGCGGGGATAAGACAAATCGATTATTACAGGCCTGAACCTATTGACTATCGATATAAGCGCTAGCTGCAGTGTGACCTTCACGTGGTTTTCCGACAGTATTTTTCCCTTGGGTGGTATACACCAGTGATGCCAATTTAGCCTTTTTTCGGACAGATCTGTCCTGTTTTGTTACTGCTTCGTGCAAAAAAAATGTCAAACAGCACTATCCGTCCTTTTTAGGCAATGTTAGAATTTTTAAAATTTAATTGGTATAATTCCACATTTTTTTTGTTTGCAAACTATGTGGCATCTCTTTTAAGCAAAATGTTATCGATATTGTGTGTAATCGTATGAATATCGAACTCACTTTGTCAAATTGCCTAAAGAGGAATACAAACAAAATAATATAAAAGCAAACATTTTGAGATTTCTCCCAAAATGCCTAAAAAAGGGTATAAACAAAAATTTCGCGATTCCTCGCTTGACCAGCCAGATTTTAAAAATTGTTAACAAAGGACCAAAGTGATAAAAACAAAGGCTTTTGCAAATACTGCAAGTGCAGCATAAATACAACAAATTATCAAATTCGTGCTCATAGGGAGTTAAAAGTGCTCATTAAAAGTTAACTAAATAAATAATAATCATAAAAAAAATCTGTCCGTTTTTTCATCCATTTTTGAAATTTTCAGCCTATTTTTTCCGTTTTTTATTCTCAATCTGTCCTTTTTTCCAGAAAAATATTGGCATCACTGGTATACACTAAAAAGTGTTGCATAGTGTGCCCATTTAGTCATTTCTCGCTTCGCTTTTCAAATACTGCCGCTTTTTTGTTTCTGTCTTGCGAATTTGCTTCAAAAATGTCGGCTTCTGCGAATTTGGCGAACGTTTACGCGGAGCTAATGCGCCGGTGTGGTGATTCGTACACGATCTCCTATGGAGCACCACCCACTTACTTGGTGAGCACGGTGGGAGCTGCAGAAGCTGGTAAGAAGATTGTGCTGGTCTTCAAGGAGGATCGCAATGGTGCCTGGACCAAAAACCCGACCACACCGACCAGGACAGTACCAAAAAAAGAGGGCTCGGCGGATTTGGATCTGACGGGTAGTCCTTTAAAGGACGACTGCTTGGTGGACGCCATAGCTGACTTGTCCATCAACTTGCAGCTGGACCATCCGATGGCGTGGAAGCTGGAGGAGGAGTACCAGCGTGGGATACCCGTGGACAAGGCGAGGTCCATTATGTGCTCCGAGTTCCTGCAGCTGGCTGAAGGACTCGGATCCGTGTGGTTTCTTTGCGACGGCAGCGATCCTGGGCAGACTCAGTTGCTCCAGTATGAGTTCAATCCTACGCACTTCTCCAGAGGAATCCTAAGCTACCAGGGGGTGCACCCTGCTTTCTTGGTGACCCCACAGTCCCTGGTGCGCCAACATGGCAAGGATCCGGATGAAACCATGATCGAAAACTGCTACCAGGTCAATACCCACATGAAACTGCGCTGCTCCTGGACCTCTAGTGCTTCACTTCCCCTTCTGGTGAACCTAAACGACTGCGATGTTGCCTTGAATCACAAATTTCGCGTAGGCGACTGCAGTGCTTTGACACAGGACTTCATGAACCAGCTGCGCATTTTGGTCTACATACGCGAAGATATCGTCTCCTACCACACGGATGTCAAGCAGGGCGTCTCACGGGAACCCACCTATCGTTGTGGCAGTGGGATTGACATGGACGAGCTGCGCGAGTCTATTAATCAGACAATGACAGATGTAACCAGCCTCATTGGTCATTATAGCATAAGCAATGCGGAGTTTGACATCGAAGATGTCATACAGAGGGCCAAGGTGCGTCGGCTCACGGATCTGACCGATAAGCTTTGGGAGCTGCTCAAGTGCTGTCACTCGTACAAGGATCTTAAAATGGCCTTTAGCATGCTCTTTCAATGTGCTGCACGATGTAACATAGTAGTAAGTATGTAAGCATGTAAAACACCACACATTACTCATATTCCTCGTCCCTTAGAACACGCCGACTAATAAAAATCGACTGGCCAAGATTATCACCGAGTTGGCCAATCGTCGTCTGGCCATGCCCTGCTTAAGTGGGGCCGAGCCTTTGGAACTGCTTTTGGAGATTGGCCTGGAGAAGTTGTACAAGGACTACGAATTCATCTATACCGAGAGCAAGATGTGCAGCACCAATCTGCTGAAGGAGGACTCTAGCGAAGCAACGTCGGACGGTGGCTCCCCCAAGAATCTGCCCCAGCTTCGAAAATCCCTGCATAATGCGGTCAGGGGTGATCCGACCCCAGGAGCAGGAATGCGGAAGACGCTGCTGCACAACCACGGCGCTGCCAATTCGCGGATTACAAAATATGCCGGTAACGACGATGATGCCGGGTTCAAAAACAGCCACTTCGACGAGCTCGAGAGTACGGAGAGAATCTCCAAGTTGTTTCAGATTCATTGCACCTTGGAACATCTGCTGATGATGCACATCCACTTAAACCTTGCAAACGGTGAGAAGAAGAAACATCACGAGGCTCTTTCACCAATAACATTGTGTGTGATTTACAGTTTACAACGATGTCTGTTCTGAGTTGCTGAAGAAACCGCCGAAATTAGTGGAATCCATCGATGATCAGCTAAGTGATGTAATGGACATTCGCCTGTCTGCCCACTATGTCAGGGATCATTTGGATGGTAAGGATCCCTACTCCCGGCACATTACCATGCGTTCGTACAACAAGTTCCGCGAACTGAAGACAACCTTCTATTTCGCTTCGGAAAACGTTTGTCCGCCCAACTTGGCTCAGTGTTTCCAGTGTGATGGTAAGATTGCAATTTGGTTTATTTATTTTATAGCTTTAGTAATATATTTGACTTCGCAGACAAGGAGATGGTCAAGGAGCGCACCTATCATTCCTGGATATATCGCAAGATTCGCTCACTTAAGTAAGGCTTGCTTAGTAATATTAAATTTAAAATTTTTTAAAATAAGCATTGCTAAGAACTTTTGAATTTTGTAATGATTTGTTTAATTGATATCGTGCAAGAATGGCTCTTGATTTGATAGTCCTTCTAAGCCTTTAGCTTTATTAGGTTTTGATATATGTTTAAACTGTTAAATTATTTCAAACATTCAAATTCAATTAAATGCCTCTAGCCATAACTTTTATAAACTTTTTGTCGAACAAACTCTTTGTTCCGAATTTTAATTGTTTGAGCTTGTTGTACACGCGTTTTCGCGAACCCCCAAAAAAGTCAGCAGTGCACACCGAAATCATGTTAAACGAACTCGTACAAGTTTTAAGCCGACCCAGAGGCTATCGCCGCTGCATTGGAAATCTTGAAACCCGGCCGAAATCCGCTTCCGCCCTGCTCGCACTTTTTTCGCAGTGTTTTTGCCGGCCATATTCTAAACAAAGGCCAGCATGCCCAACATTTGGCCATTCCTCTAGTGAAGTAATGCTGCAAATGAGGCGAAAAGAGTGTGTGCCCAATGGTAACGGCGCCATCGAGCATTCCCGATATGTTACAATCCAATTAGCTGGATGCGCCAGTTGGCCAACTAGAGTACTTGGCTGGCCCGTTGCCGATTGATTTGCAGTTTGTCAGACGTGCGTGGAACGCGCATCGGTTCGGTCGTGTTTTTTCCAGCCCTGTTCCCCTGAAAAACGAACGGAATTTCAAGCAAGGATTTTACGAGTGTCCTGGCCAGGGAATAAGCCACTGTGAGCTGGAAATCCCTTTTTTGGGATAGTTGATTGAGTGAAAAGTGGATAGTGGCCGTCAAATCTTAATTAAGTTTGTTTAAATCGCGAATCGTCGCGAGTCCATAATCTAATTAAAAGCAAAATGGTGTGTATTGTTCAACGAAATGGCCTGATAACCTGCTGAACTAAATCTAAATTGCTATTAGCGCATAAAACCGGACTTTTGATAATCTATGCAAGAAACCATTCACGGATTCAAATCCTGTGAAATTAAGATACCCCTTTGGTCTAGTCACCCCAACTTATTCTCAGAAACTTTTCCAGACACACCACCTAATCCTTTTGGCAAAGTCGTCGGTGGTTCTTCAGCGAAATTCGAGAAGCCATATTAAAAAAACGAGTTGCGCAAAAGCTATTATATTCTAATGAGCTGAAAGAATGATACTTTAATTTTCAATATTTGAGTCTTTGAAATACGGGTTTAAATTTATTTAAGATATATTGTTTAATGACCTTAAAGATATACATGGTATGATTTAGATATCATAATGATGGTTGGAAAAGTTTCTTTTTTAGCTAATTGGTAGACTCTTGATGATTCGTCATCCCCAGTACCTCATTTTCCATTCTATCTGTAGGGCCTCGAGTTTTTCTTTAAGTTCGGCTATGCCTTCCTGACAATAACCCTCATGATCATGATCTGGATGTCGCTGGCCCGTGCCTCGATGTTCGATCGAGAGATGGAGGAAACGCACTACCCGCCCTGCACCTACAACGTGATGTGCACCTGCTCCAAGTCCTCTACGGATCTGGGGATAGTGCACTGCAAGAATGTTCCGTTTCCGGCACTGCCGCGCATGGTGAACCAGTCAAAGGTGAGTTGTAAGGATATTTTTCTACATAAAACTGACGACAATAATATTGAAAGGGTAACCTTCCTAAAATATAAGTTTTATTTCTAGTAAATCCATTTATCCATTCATTTACCCATAATTACCAATAATACTATTAACTATTCTGGTCTAGGTCTTCATGCTGCACATGGAGAACACGGGTCTGCGCGAGATTGAGCCCTACTTCCTGCAGTCCACGGGCATGTACCGCTTAAAGATCTCTGGGAACTATCTCACCGAGATTCCGGATGATGCTTTCACCGGCCTGGAGCGATCGCTGTGGGAGCTGATTCTGCCGCAGAACGACCTGGTGGAGATCCCATCCAAGTCCCTGAGGCACCTGCAGAAGCTGCGTCACCTGGACCTGGGCTACAACCACATAACGCACATCCAGCACGACTCGTTCCGCGGACTGGAGGACTCGCTGCAGACGCTGATCCTGCGCGAGAACTGCATCTCGCAGCTAATGTCGCACAGCTTCTCCGGACTCCTGATCCTAGAGACCCTCGATCTGAGTGGCAACAACCTGTTCGAGATCGATCCGAATGTGTTCGTCGATGGAATGCCGCGGCTGACTCGTCTGTTGCTTACGGACAACATTCTTTCGGAGATTCCATACGACGCGCTGGGTCCACTGAAGAGCCTTCGTACGTTGGACATCTCCCACAATGTGATCTGGTCGCTCAGTGGCAACGAAACGTACGAAATCAAGGCCAGCACCAAGCTGAATCTGGACAATCTGCACCTGGAGTACAATCCCATTGAGGTCCTGCCTCCTAATTCATTCAAGTACTTCGACACCGTCAATCGCACCTTCTTCGATGGCAATCCCATTCACACTCTGAGGGTAGGTAACGTAATCCTTGTAAAACCTGATTTGCATCCCTCCCAGAAATTTGGTTATTAAAGAACATATTTTAATCTCATCTTTGATAATTATATATATTTCACCCTTAACTTTCAGGAAGATGCTTTTAAGCCCGCTCGAATCAGGGAGATCTACATGCGCTATTGCGGCCTGACCAACATCTCGCCTGTGGCCTTTGACAGCCTGGTGAACAGCCTCCAGATCCTGGATTTGTCTGGGAACAATCTCACCAAGCTGCATCACAAGCTCTTCAACAATTTCGATGTCTTGAGGTGAGTCGAGCACCTGCACTCCGATTCACTCACGTTCTACCCCCATTGCACTTGCACAAGTGTATATTGGGGGGAACTAATCGGATTGCCGGCAGCCTCCTAGGGCTTCTCCAGTTCCTAAGTTCGTATGTGCGCCAAGTGGGTGACCCTATTTAGAATGGCGAGGAATAGAGAAAAGCCGCACAATCAGGCAATCATGCAAAAATACCCGACACTGGGGGAAAATCATGATTTGCATATCTATTTTTTAATTTTATAAATTTTATAATGAAATGTATTTTTATTTCTTAAATAATAGGGTCATCAGCATGCGGGACAATAAGATCAAGATTCAGAAGCCCACGGAGACCTTCAATGCGGTGCACTACACGCTCCTGAAACTGGACCTGAGTGGTGACCGCAACGACCCCACCAATCTGCAGACCCTTCGCAAGTAAGTGAACCCAGTGCACCGAGAAAACATCCTGCTCCCCACACACCCTTCACCCCAGAACCACTCTTCTATTTATTTACAAAAAGTATGACCAGAATGCGGAACATGCGATCACTGTCGATCTCGCGCCTGGGATCCTCCTCCGTTGGGCCTGAGGACTTCAAGGACTTCGGCGTGGAGCTGGAGGACCTGCAAATCACCAGGGCCAGTCTCTCCGGGATTCAATCACACGCTTTCAAGCATGTCAGGGGTCTGAAAAGGCTGGACTTCAGCGAGAACGGAATATCTAGCATTGAGAACGATGCCTTCCATGAGGTAAACCAGGATAATTGAGCTCATTAGATAATACAATATCCTTTTTATATAGATTGGTCACTCGCTCATCTCTCTGAAGATGTCGCACGGCTACTCTGGCAGTTCCCTGCCAGCTGAACCTCTGAGACATCTGACTTCCCTTCAAGAGCTGGACTTTAGCAACAATCACATCAGCAGCATGAGCGACACCAGTTTCCATTTCCTGAAGAACTTGCGTCTCCTAGAGCTTCATGACAACAGGATCGAACAGGTTTTAAAGGGCACTTTCCAGGGCGACATTCACTCAAAGCTGGAGGAGATCTCGCTTCGCTTCAACCACCTGACCTCCATTTCCCAGCATACCTTCTTCGATCTGGAAGCCCTGAGAAAACTGCACCTGGATGACAATAAGATTGACAAGATTGAGCGAAGAGCCTTTATGAATCTGGATGAACTGGAGTATCTTAGTTTGAGGGGCAACAAGATAAACAACCTGGCTGACGAGTCCTTCCAGAACCTTCCAAAACTGGAGATCCTTGACATGGCTTTTAATCAGCTACCCAACTTCAACTTTGACTACTTCGATCAAGTGGGCACCTTGTCGAATCTTAATGTGAACGTAAGCCACAATCAAATCAGGCAGTTGATGTATAATTCCTCATGGAGTGGACGAAATGAACATGGTTCGTTCTTCTTTATAGCAAATCTTTATTTTTTTAATAGCTTCGGTTCTTAGGTGGCATGTATCACTCGAACATCAAGACATTGGATCTTTCCCACAACAACATATCTATTATTCATCCTGGATACTTCCGGCCTGCCGAAATTTCACTGACACACTTGCATCTGGGCTACAATTCGCTGATGGTGGGTCTCACTTAAAAATAATCAATGACTTTGTAAAAAGCCTTTCATACTTTGACATTTTAGAACACGACTCGAGATGTCTTCGGCAACATGCCCCACTTGCAATGGCTGGACCTCAGCTACAATTGGATCCACGAACTGGACTTTGATGCCTTTAAAAACACCAAGCAGCTCCAGTTGGTCTTCTTTGATCACAATTACCTCACTGATATTCCCCAGGATATATTCAAACCTGTCCAGAGCCTGCGCATCGTCGATTTCTCGCACAATCACTTGAGGGGCCTGCCCGACAATCTCTTCTATAATGGAGGAATGGAAAAGTGAGTAAATATCTATATAATCGATGTATAGACTTTCATGTATTTATGACTCTTGAAGATTGGATGTGTCGCACAACATGATGCTGAAGATCCCCTCCTCATCGCTGTCCAGTTTGGCTGCGTTGACGCTTTGTGAATTGCACCTGTCCAACAACTTTATCTCTACCATTCACAGCATGGATTTGTCCAACAAGTTTAGAGTAAGCTATTAGTAAAACACTTGCCTTAAAATTAAAAAATCAAATCTTTATTCCGACTACAGTCACTTCGCTACCTGGACATCTCATACAACTATCTGCTGCGAATTGATGATGCCGTTTTTGCAACCATGCCAAAATTGGCCGTTCTGGATCTCTCCCACAATCGGGATCTGAAGGTGATGGATAAGTCGTTTATGGGTTTGGAGAACTCGCTGATCAAACTGGGTCTGGAGAACGTTTCTCTGAGCACAGTGCCCGAGATTCGACTGAAGTATCTGCGGGAGTTCCGTTTGGGTTACAATGAACTGCCTTCGATTCCGCAGGAACTAGCCCACAATATGACTAATCTGCGCATGCTGGACCTCTCCAACAACGACTTAACAAATGTGCCACTGATGACCCAAGCTCTCCCCCACTTGAGGTGCGTTAATCCAACATGGAAAGTTATGTATCTAATTGGTATTCGCAATTCATAACAGACGCCTGATGCTCTCCGGCAATCCCATAACCTCGCTGAACAACAACAGTTTCGATGGCGTGAACGAGGATCTTGAGATGCTGGATATATCGAATTTCCGGTTGCACTATTTCGAGTATGGCTGTCTGGACTCGTTGCCCCACTTGCGATCCCTTAAGCTTACTGCGTACTCCCATCTGGAGCACTTCAATATCCCACATCTGTTGCGCCATCATTATAATATCCGCCAGTTGTGGATCGAGGCCCCACAGCCCTTCACCCGCATTGTTAAGAAGGGATCTGGACCCACCCAGGAGATGCAGACCCTTCAGCTGGGCAATCCCACCGACTTGCTGCGCGAAATGGAGGGCCATCTGCCCTCCAAGCTGACCAACATCACCTTCAGTGGTCCTCAGTTCACTAACCTGAATGAACGCATTTTAAGAGTGAGTAGCTCTTCTAAATCGATGTCTAATTAAACGATTAAATATTTAATTTATTGTAGGGCATGCGTTCTCCATACCTCTACATGCAACTATTCAATACCTCTCTGCAAGCCTTGCCTCCTAACTTCTTTAAGTACATGGGCCGAGTTCGGAACATTTCGCTGGACATTCGCTACCACAATCGGAACCTGAAGAAGATTCCAAATCCAAACACAGGAGCTGTTCCCTATCTGCCGAATAGTGTGTTCCTCACGGACTTGAAGATGTCTCACACTGATCTCAACTGCGACTGCGACCTGGGGTAAGGCTATGGTTATCTACTAGTATGATAGTGTGTTGATAATTATAATTTGTTTGTATAGGTGGGTGGAGTTCTGGCAACGCAAGAGGCGCCAGTACATCTGCTCCTCCCAAACCTGGACCGACACCGTTTTCCGCACTTTCATGAACTCTCCTTGCCAGGTGTACGGTCGCCACAACTGCGACGAACATGATGATGACCTGAGGGAGACGCGCTGTGAAAACAAAGGAGGGCAGCAGCTGATGGAGGTGGGTATCAAATGGAATACTGTCCAAGAATAGTTCGCTAATCGCCATAACTCTCGATAGGCCCTCAAATTCGATCTGGAGTGCGGGTGGGACAATGCAAACTGCCGGGAGGCCGCCTTTGTGGTGGTGATGGTGTGCGTGGCCATGGTCTTCTGGATGTGACTTCTGCACTTTGCATATAAGACGTCCACCGACTTTTATACCATTCTTGAGCAAGTCTACGGCAGACAGGTCATATGAGTCTTGCCGTCTAGAGTTTAAGCGTGATGATGAGACTTTGGCCACTTTGATACCTTTTGCAGTTAGTTGTTTCTCTTCCGAAAACCTTCTCTCACCGATCCGCTGGTCCTTGGTAACGCCTTATATGTAGTTCTCCTCACCACCACTCACCACTCACCTCTGAAGCACTCCATTCTTCGCCTCGCCTCACTGTCTATCTCCATGTATGTATATCTTCGTAGGCCTTAACTTAGACCATAACTTATCCAGCTATCTAATAACCCGCCTGACCTGACCCACCAATACTTTCTGTACTTCTCTTATAAGTTAGGTCACTGCGCTGCTTAAACAATTCCAAAATGAAAGTCTGTAAAATGTTTCATAAACATATAATAAATATTTACGGTAGGTTAAGTTCGCTGTGCCGTCTCCCACTTTATTTTGGGGCATTATGATTTTTATTGGTCTGCGAGCGGAAATACTTGCTACAACAAGTTACGTTCACAATTGCCGGACCAGGCTGGTCCAGAAACAAACAATTAAAAACTTTTCGCTTAAAGTTTCCCCCTCTTCGGGGGGCTTTTCCATACGATAAATTTGGTTGGAAGCGAGAAGCATTTTCTCTCTTCTGTTTGGTTTAGTTTCTTTTTTATGGCACTTTAAGGGCGTTTGTAAAGCATTTTGTTCAAAATGTTTGCAGCACACGAGAGGGAAAATATGCTATACTTAAATCTGCTCATAAATTTATAAATATTTTCTTTAGCTTCTTACACAGAGTTACATGAAAATACATTAAAAATGTGCATGAGTTCCAAAAATATTTTAGAAATCCACTAAAAGCTTATCCAAAAAATGTAAAAAATTTGTAAGTAATATCTAAGGGTATTCCAACGTTCAACCTTCTCAAAAGTCTTGTTTTTGCTATTACACATATATTTTTGGCAGCTTTATTGAGCTAAAGTACTTTGTGATATATGGACAGGCTGAGGAGACGGGTTCGAATGCTCAAAGTTCAAATGGGCCAGCAAGAATCTCATCAACTTCCCGCTTATGCACATTTCCGATTCCAGTGGCGTTGGTGGGTGCCTCGCAGCGACCGCTGTAGTGGAGCTGTGGAAAGCGGGAAAGGAGGAAAAACAGGGAAAATCGGTGGGTAGTGAAAAGTGTCTAGAGCTCTTTCAGTAGCCGCCGGTGGCAGGCTGACTTTTTACCTTTTGGCCAATTAAATTTTCAAAACGTGGCCGCACAAACGTCCAGGCGCCCATGTTGCGATGCTCCTCCTGGCTCCAAACAAAAGCTGCACGGAAAAAAGAATATATAAAGTTATTCAACGGATCTAAGGAAAGTGGTATTTTGATATCTAAACCACACGTAAAAATATAAATATATTAATATATATATTAAGAAAGAACAATGTCTGTCACTTCTAATATAAGACATATTTTTCGGTGTAGAAAAACGATAGGAAGTGCAGATCCGGTCAACTTTGTGGGCGAAGTTTATGATGGACTCACATTGCACGTTGCCGTATTGGGCCAGCTGGGCCTGCAGCTCCTGGACGGGGAAAGGACTCAGGGACTCCAGGCGCAGGATGGCCGTGTCGTAGGCCTGACGCTTCTCGCGCTCCTCGGCGAGAGCGTAGTAGTGCTTTCCACTGCACAGGATGACCTTGCGCACCTGCTCCGGCTTCGCAGTGGTGTCTCCTAAGGTTGGAGGTGGGTGAAGAAAAGATAGATTAATTCCGTGATATCGCTGAGCAGCACAAAATGAACTGAAAAGTTTTCATAATAAACCTGAATTTACGTGAACATCATTTTACAATTCACAGTAGCAGGAAAGCACATAAAATTATATATGTATGTGGCATTAAAAGTCAATTATATGCTTTGTAAATCTGGCAAAAGTTATTTTTTGTTGCTGAAAAGTTTATATTGCTGCTAGTTTGCCATTATGAATGTGGCTAATAACTATGTTGGCCAACGAGGTGTATTTTTAATAGATTTAACTAAAGTGGTTTTCTACATTTTTGCCCAGGGACAGTGACATAGTACTCAAGTTACACCACCCTGCCCTACCCGCTTTTCCTCGAGCCTGTGAAGATAAACAGAGACCATTACTCACCCAGGACATTTTGGAAGAGCGTGCCCGGCTGGAAGTCCTCGTGCGTGGATGTGGCCACAGGAAGGCGGAGCAGCGTTTTGGGGGCCACCACCACGAGGGGCTTGCGGAAGTTCCTTGCCAGTTGGCGACGCAGTACGTGATAGTATTGGGCGGGCGTGGTGGGGTTCACGACGTGCACGTTGACGGAATCGCCATCGGCGGACGTTTCCTTGGAGTCGCTGAGCTGCAGGAAGCGCTCGATGCGACAGGAACTGTGCTCCGATGCACCGCCATCGTATCCATGGGGCAGTAGCATCACTAAGGCATTGGACTCCATCCACCTGGCTGAGTAAGAAATTCTTTGAAGTGAGTACGCAGAAATTAAGCTATTCCCAACTCACTTTCTCCCGTGACAATGAAGGTGTCGATTATAATTTGTGCTCCATTGGCAAAGTCGCCAAACTGCGCTTCCCAGATAATCAGATTGTTGGGGTTGTCAATGGCCATGCCGTACTCGAATCCCAGCACCGCCTCCTCCGACAAAGTACTGTGAGCTACCTCCAGTTTTCCACCGTTTCCGCCCTCCATGTTGTTCAAGGGAATGTACATCTCGTTGGTCTGCTGATCCACCAGCATGGCATGGCGATGGGAGAAGGTTCCTCGGCCCACGTCCTCGCCACTGATCCTCACATTGTGTCCCTGGTACATCAGGCTGCCAATGGCCATGGCTTCGGCTGTAGACCAATCGATCTTGACTCCGTTTTCCAGTTTCTTGAGTCGGGCATTGACATGCGTTTTCAGCAGGTGGGGGTGGACGTTCTGTTACCAAGGTAAGAATATTATGAATATATACCCTACTCGTGCATACATCCGAGCTTACTTACAAAGTCTTCTGGGAAAGTCACACTCTGCTGACCAATGTAATGAAGTAGCGAGTAATCCAAGCCAGTGTCCCAATAGGTTAGTTCCTTGGAGGGAGCCAACTGAAGCTCCTTCCACTGACTTTCGAAGTAAGAAGGTGGTGGCTGGTAGGTAGGAGCCAAGGCAAGTTCCTCACCCAGATATTTCATGAACTCCTCCCTAATTTCTTTGGCCTTCGACTCCGGGAGAACCTGCTCCTTGGCCAACTGCTGGGCGTACACGTCTGGGACCAATCCCAGCTGGGGGACTATCTTATACACCATGGGACTGGTAAAGGTGGGGTCGTCCAATTCATTGTGACCCCATCTTCTGAAGCAGTTCAAATCAATAAAGATGTCCTTGCGGAACTCTCTCTGATATCTAAAGGCCAAGTTTGTGATCCTGGCCACAGCCTCGGGATCACAGCCATTGACATGGAACACAGGAGCCTGAATGGACTTGGCCAAGTCCGACGGGTAGGCAGTGGATCGTCCGCGATCTCCTGGCGTGGTGAATCCCACCTGGTTGTTGACAATCAAGTGCACACTTCCGCCCACCTCAAAGTGGGGCACGTAGGCCATGTTGAGGCACTCCTGGTTGACTCCCTGGCCGGCGAACGCACCATCTCCATGAAGGATTACGTTGAGCACGTGTTGCCCCAAGGGCTGACCACTATCCCCGAAGGCTCCTTCACCTCTTGCTTGCTGCTTCGATCGCGTTTTTCCCATGGCCACAGGATTGGCAGCCTAAAAGTGGGATAAAGAAGAAACACGATGCTTAAATCAGGAATCAAATTTCAAAGTTTGACGTGTGTCGGCTTACCTCCAGATGGGAGGGATTCCGCACCATAGTAAAGTTCAGCTTCTTGCCCAGTACTTCCAGCTGCTCGGAAACATCTGTGTGCGAATCGGTTCAGGTTTTATTAAATTAAGCATACGCCGTGTGTGCTTAGGCCAGCAAGACTAAGACTGCTTGGCGCACACAAAGATGGGCTTTAAATTTATATGACGAATGTGAAATACCCAGGAGTCTAGCCTGCCTATAGTGACCCAAATAACATTCGCACGTGTTTATTAAGACTTTGGGATAAATATATATGTTAGATATAACATTCTACTATTCACAGTACATTCAACTTTCGTTGTACTACTTCAGATCCTTTTAGCCATAGTGATAAGCGAATGGTGATCCCCCATATCCCTGATACCCTGGTATCCCCGTAAACCCAACGAATACCCCGACAAAGTTTCACTTACGGAAATGACTTATGACGTCGGACATGGCCTCGACGTCTTCGGGAAACTCGGATGCGCCGCTGAGTTTGCGGAAAACTTTCGCCGGCCGCATGTTGAAGAGCGCCGCCTGCAGCGAAGTCCTTCCTCGATGGGGCATCGCCAGGACCACGTGCTCGATGTTCGCTGTCATTCCATTGTAGAATTTTTTATCGTTGTCGTCGTCGTTTCCGTTGTTTCCGTTTTTCGGGGTTGCATGCGAGAGGGAAAAGTTTTGGGAAAGCAGATTAGGGTTAAGTAAGCGTGCGATGATATGTGAGCCTGCCTGTGGGAAGCAAGTTCAGAATGGTGGCTAGAGTTCAGGTGGGTTGGCTTGAATTCCGTGCAGCAGATTCGCCATACCTGCGGACTGTCACGAGACAAAGTTTGGCGCCTTGAAATGGGTGCGCGATTCCGCGTTTCGCTAATCGCGTTTAAGAAGCGGTCCACACGCACGAGCTCTTATAAATCATGTCATAAATATGTATGGGATGAAACTTGGGAAATTCGGTATAAAATGGACTTAATGGCACAAGTTTATTTCAATATACTTCAAGAATATTGGATTGCTAAATCGGTCCTCTGAGTGGAAAGGAGTGATACTTATTTGGATAATTTCTATGGCACTGTGAGAAAAACTCACCTTGGACACTGTCACGGAGCAGTTGCCAGAAGAAGGCCAGCATGGACTCGGCACCTTCGCCTCCGTATCTCTTGAATGTGGGAAACTTGAGTGCCATGAAATTCTCCCAGGCCTGCGACTTAATTAACAGCTCGGCGATTTCGCAACGCTCGCTGTTTGCCAGCTGCTGCTGGTCCAGCGTCTCAAAGTTCCGGGCCAGCCACTCGCGCTCCTCGATGTCCTGTGAAAATGAGGCAGCGGGATCAGCACGCCATGTTTATGGGATGGGAAGGGACGGAATGGGATACTTACCTCGACATAGGAGAACTCGGCGCTGGTTGAGCGGCCGCAGTAAATGTCCTTGAGCAGCTGCTCCAGCTGGGCGACATTCTGGGCCACCTGCGGACCACTTAAAAGGCCATCGGTGCGCACCGGCTCCTGTGTCTGCAGTCCATAAAATGCGGGACTTAATTCCTGCAGCTCCGGCTGCCTGTGTCCAGCAGCCACGAAAATTCACAAGACAAATACACGCAGCCAGGACGATAT